CCATGCTCCAGCTAAGGAAAAAGTTGCTGCTACACGAGTGCAGATTGTATATTACAAGCTTCCACATTTTAAGGTCTACTATGTATTATGATATGTTATCAGTGGAATAGACAAAGTGAATGAGCTACTTTTAAAGGAACAGACTAGCAGTCAATTCATAAACGGTGTGTACGCCCAGAACATTTTCAGGTCTACTTCTCAAAGCAGGGGATGTAAAAGCCACGGACATTTTGTTGGTGGTGTTACTGTGGTTGTGATTGTTTGGCAGAAGTTGCTGAGTAACAAGACCACTTGGCAATCTGAGTCTCACTGTTTCTTCACATACGTGAGGCTCATCTGAGTTAAAGTACAATAATGACAATGTTGATCGGGTGGGGTGCGGTGGCTGAGGTGGGAGGATCCTGTGAGACCAGGAGCTTGGGAGCAGTCTTGGCAACAGAGGGAGACCCCATCTCTACAAAAACTAAAAAGCTATCAGCCGAGTGTGGTGGCATGCACCTGCGGTTGCAGCTACTCCGGGGGCTGACGTGGGAGGATCACTGGAGCCTGGAAGGTTGAAGCTGCAGTGAGCCATCATTGCACGACTGTGCTCCAGCCTGGGTGACAGTGTGATCCTCTCTCTAGCTAAAAAAAGAACAATGTCAATGTTTTCTTAGTCCATATCAGTGTCTTCCGTAATTTATGCTTACTAATAGTGCCATACTTTATTATTACTTTTACAACATTTAAAAATGAACAGTGGAAAAGAAAACATTGAGGCACTCTCAGCAGAATGCTAATTTAGTCTATTGCAAACCACAGAGCTTCCAGCTTTGAGAATCAACGTGAGGTCCATGAAATGCGCACTGAATGTCACCTACCTCTGTTCTTATTTTATTTCCATCTGGCTATTTTCGCCACATCATCATTGTTAAGTGTTTATAAAGGGGCTTGTCTATGAAGGGAAGACTGACCTACCTGGGGGGGTCTTTACAGAGGGTAAATGAACTCCAGGATTCCCCCAAACAGCTCATCCAGTAACTCAATGAGCAAAGTTTTTCTTTCTTTTTTTTTTAAATAAGGAAATGACTTAATTTTAGAAAGATCATACCAGCCTGGGCAATGTAGTGAAACTCCATTGCTATAAAAAATACAAAAAAAAATTAGCCAAGTGTAGTGGTGTGTAGCCATAGTCCCAGCTATGTGGGAGGCTGAGGTGTGAGGATAGAGCCTGGGAGGCAGTGCTTGCAGTGAACCAAGATTGCACCACTGCACTCCATCCTGGATGAAAGAGCGAGACCCTGTCTCAAAAAATAAAAAGGAAAGGAAAGGAAAGAACAGAAAATCATTTTCCATGGAGGCCTCTCCATCTTACAGAACCTACTACGCTCTGTACTCAGCCACCGTGCTAAGAACGTCACTACATCTTCGCATTCATCTTCCACAAGGCTGTGGAAGTCAGACTTGTGGCCTCTAAAGACGTCCGTGTCAGTCCTGGAACGTGTGAATGTATTATATGACCAGGCAAAAGGGAATCAGGGTTGCTGATCAGCTGACCTTAAATAGGGAAATTATTCAGGATCATCAAGATGGGCTCAAGGTTATCCCACGGGTCTTCAAACCGGGAGAGGGAGACCAGAGGTTCAAGGTCAAAGTGATAAGATGGAAGAAAGGCTTGCCAGGCCATGGATCACTGTGAACTTGGAAGGGGTTGTGACCCAAGGGAGCAGAGTAGAATCTAAGAGTTGGAAAAGGCAACAAAAAAGATTTCCTCTAGAGGCTCAAGAGAAACACGGCCCTGCTGGCACCATGATTTTAGTCCAGTGAGGCATACTACAGACTTCTGGCCTCTACAACTGTAAGATGATCAATTTCTGGTTTTGAGTTTTTTGTTTGTTTTGAGACAAGATCTCGCTCTGTTGCCTAGGTTAGAATGCAGTGGTACAACCATGGCTCGCTGTAGACTCAAATCCCTGGACCCAAGTGATCCTTCTACCTCAGGCTCCCGAGCAGCTGGGACCGCAGGGATACACCGCCATGCCTTGTTAACTTTTGCAGAGATGGGGTCTTCCCATGTTGCCCAAGCTCATCTCAAACTCCTGATCTCAAGTGATTTTCCCACTTTGGTCTTCCAAAGTGTTAGGATTTCACATGTGAGCCACCACGCCTGGCTAATTTCTACTGTTTTAAGTCACTGAGCTTGGGACAATTTGGGAAATAGTAACAGCAAATGAATAAAGGTAAAAATGGCTATCCCCATTTTGCAGATGATAAAAAGCAATGTGTATAAACAAACTAAACCCACAGAGAGGTGGACAATAATACTGGCACTTAAGCTAGGCTTTCTGGCTCCAAAAGACAGGCTTTTTCCCGGAGGATACTATGTGGCTTCACTTTGCAATATTTCACTTAGTTCAGACATCTATTAATGGTTATAACACAGATCAATGCTGCCTTAGAAAGAATTTGACAAGAAAATGATGATTTCAAGGATACAAACTCAAAACAGGTCTGGTGAAACTTAAGAGCTAAGAAAATGAGGAGTAATTAATGAAATAATATTTCCTGAGAACCCATTGTTTCAGGTGCTATTAGACAATGTCTCATTAATTTCTCTAAAATTCTGTACGGTGAAGACTTTTTTGATGTAGAAGATAAAAAAATTACAGAGGATGTATCACCTACCAAAACCTTCCCAGGAAAGAGGCAGAGTTAAGGTTTTAGGTCAAGCTTGTAGCTCTCTCCAAGTTTGCATGTATTCTATTTCGGTATGCTGCCAAGTCCAGAAACAAGGCTGTTTGTGGACAAAGATATTTTTTAAAGCTAAATAAGGATATAAGGCAGGTTAAGTATGTTCTCCCATTCTATAACCACTCATTAGCAGGTGCAATATTATTATTTGGGGGCTTTGTTGTAGCCAGTGAATTCTGAAACCATATACTGCATGAGGAAACCACACAATCCTAAAATAACTATTTCTTATTTGCATATTCCCATATCCACATAGTCAAACATAAAACCGAGAGAGAGGGAGGAAGAGAGAAAAATGGAGGAGAGAAAGAGAAGAGGAGGAAGAGAGAGAGAGAGAGAAAAAAAAGAGAACAGAGAAAGCGAGAGAGAGGAAAGAGAAAAAGAGAAGACAGGAGGAAGACAGAGAGGTGAGAAAAAGGAGGGAGAGAGAGAGGCGAGAGAAAGGAGGGAGAGACATGAGGGAAAGAGAGGAGAAAGAGAGGAGGAAGAGATAGAGAGGAGAGAGAAGAGAAAGAGAGAGGAAAGAGAGGAGGAAGAAATAGAGAGGAGAGAGAAGAGAAAGAGAGAGGAAAGAGAGGAGAAGGAGAGAGAGGAGCAGAGGAGACACAGCGGAGGAAGAGAGAGAGAAAGAAGGAGAAAGAAAGAGGGGGGAGAGAAGAGAGAGATGACAGGACAGAGAAAGAGAGAGACCAAGAGGCCTAACTGCCTATGATAACTGGAAATTGGTTGTCTGGTTATAACATTTCCGTTAAATGAATTATTATGCACCAATACTTGCTTTCTTCATTATTTATTTATTTATTTTTTGAGACGGAGTTTCGCTCTTGTTACCCAGGCTGGAGTGCAATGGCGCGATCTCGGCTCACCGCAACCTCCGCCTCCTGGGTTCAGGCAATTCTCCTGCCTCAGCCTCCTGAGTAGCTGGGATTACAGGCACGCGCCACCGTGCCCAGCTAAATTTTTTTTTGTATTTTTTAGTAGAGATGGGGTTTCACCATGTTGACCAGGATGGCCTCGATCTCTTGACCTCGTGATCCACCCACCTCAGCCTCCCAAAGTGCTGGGATTACAGGCTTGAGCCACCGCACCCAGCCTATTTCTTGATTTTTAAAGGATGTGAATATGAGAACTGGTATTTCTCTTCCCTTTTAATCCTAGTAACAACAGTGAATTGTTCCAGGAAGATTCAAAGCACATTCTGCTGTATCTCTGTCACCGACCCTGATCAGTAGTCAGACGATGTTCTTCTGGTCACCCACAAGGTCTCCAAGAAGCTTGTTAAAATGCAGAGCCCTGATTTCCACTCTCAGGGACTGTCAGTTGGGAAGTCTAGAATGCAGTGGCCTCGGGTACATTAAAAAAATGTACAGCCATTTTTAGCAATTATTAAAAAGTCAAGAAACAACAGATGTTGGCAAGGCTGTGGACAAACAGGAACACTTTTACACTATTAGTGGGAATGTAAATTCATTCAACCATTGTGGAAGAAAGTGTTGCGATTCCTCAAAAATTTCGAACCAGAAATACCATTTGACCTGGCAACCCAATTGCTGGATATAACCCCAAAGGAATATAAATCATTCTATTATAAAGACAAATGCATGTGTATGTTCATTGCCGCACTATTCGCAATAGCAAAGACATGGAATCAGCCCAAATGCCCATCAAGGATAGCTTGGATAAACAAAATGTGGTACATATACAACATGGAATACTATACAGCCATAAAAATGAGATCATGCATTTTGTAAGGACGTGGGCAGAACTGGGAGTCATTATCCTCAGCAAACTAAAACAGGAACAGAAAACCAAACAACTCATGTTGTCATTCATAAGTGAGGGCTGAACAATGAGAACGCATGGACACAAGGAGGGAACATCACACACTGGGGCCTGGTCCGAGGGTAGAGGGAGGGAGAGCATCAGGATCGACAGCCAACGCACGTGGGGCTTAATAACTAGGTGATGGGTTGACAGGTACAGCAAATCACCATGGCACATGTGTACCTATGTAACAAACCTGCATATCTTGCACATGTATCCCGGTACTTAACATTTAAAAATACGCACAGCCATTTTTCAGACATGCAACCCCAAATTCATCAAAATAAAAATGAGCCTGGATACATGAATTCCAGGAAGAAATGGCTTTCTAATGTGTTGGCACACGAGAAATATCAAAGGCAGTAAGTACTTCACAGGATTCCTATTTCAGCATCTGTCTACCTGTCCAGGTTTCTGGCTAGCTCCCCACAACACTTGCATGTTACTGTAAATACATTCAGCATTTGAAGATGTATATTTCTTTTTTTTTTTTTTTTTCTTTTTTGAGATGGAGCCTTGCTCTGTTGCCCAGGCTGGAATATAGTAGTGTGATCCTAGCTCACTGCAACCTCTGCCTCCTGGTTTGAAGTGATTCTCCTGTCTCAGCCTCCCAAGTAGCTGGGACTACAGGCACCCACCACCATATCCAGCTAATTTTTGTGATTTTGTTAGAGACGGGGTTTCACCATGTTGGCCAGGCTGATCTTGAACTCCTGACCTCAAGTGATCCACCCGCCTCAGACTCCTGAAGTGCTGGGATGACAGGTGTGAACCACCGTGTCCAGCCAAGACGTATATTTCAAGTATAGCTTCCCATGTGTTGTTTCATAATGCAATGTCCATCTGAATGTAAGCTCCATGAACACAAGGACTATAGTCTCCTGTTACTGCCATAGCGTCTGTGCTCTGCCCAGAGGCTCACAGGGAGCCGACATCCCAGAAATATTTCCTGAACAGTGAATGAGTACTAACTTTTCACCCTTTACTTGAAGTGACTATATACGAAGCAGCAGCGCAAGCAAAAATGAGAGATTCATTCCAATCACGCTGATGACAAATCCGCTGGACGCTTCTATTTGGGCAAAATGCTATCACTTCTGATTTCCCTCTTTGAGGCTTATTAAGACCATGAATTCAAAGCAGCCAGAAAGCTAATATTGCCACAAAGCAAGATACAGTTCACAGTCTGTGCCTGATAATATCATAAACAAATAAAGCAAAACTCCAAACGATAGGTACAGCAATAAGACAAATGCCAGAAAGATAACTGTGAAAGCTGACATGCTAAGTCATTGAGTGGAACTGAGATGGCATGTGGTCTGTTTTTGCTTTTCCTAATTGTATGTATTGGCTTTACTGTAAATTATAAATTGTATGTACTAGTTTTATTATAAATTTCACTATAAATTATGCATTATTATAAAATTGGTTTTATTATGAATTATAAATTGTTTTATTGTATTTTGAGACAGGGTATTGCTCTGTCACCCAGGCTATAGTGCAGTGGTTTGAACACATTTCACCATAGCCTCGACTTCTGGAGCTTAAGCGACACTCCAACCTCAGCTTCCTAAGCAGGTGGGGCTACAAGGGTATACCACCATTCCCAGCTAATCTGAGTGTGTGTATGTAGGTAAATACACACAACGTGCCTGTGTATGTACATTTACATATATACACACACACACTCTCTTTCTCTCTACCTATAGATATAGATATAGATATAATTTTACTTCTTTTGGTAGTGATGGGGTTTTGCCATGTTGCCTAAACTGGTCTCAAGTTCTGGGCTCAAGTAATCTGCCTCCTCAGCCTCTCAAACTGCTGAGATGACAGGTATGTGCCACCAGGGCCCAACCTCATTTACTTTTGACAGAGTCATCTATTCATTCAGTTACACCAATCTCAAGCACTAGTGGATTTGTAAGAAAGAAAGAATCATAGAATCTTGAAATCACATATTCCTATTGAACAGTAGAATATTATAGGCCTCAGAATTACATGTGTATGTGCGTATGTGTACACATAAAGTTTCAATATGCACAAAAGTAGAACATATTATATAATGGGTCCTATATACTCAGTAATGAAGAGCTTACTACAATTGCTTTAAGTTGCTATTTATCTATTCATTTACTTTTTTTTTTTTTTTTGAGACGGAGTTTCGCTCTTGTTACCCAGGCTGGAGTGCAATGGCACCATCTCAGCTCACCGCAACCTCCGCCTCCTGGGTTCAGGCAATTCTCCTGCCTCAGCCTCCTGAGGCGTGTGCCTCCATGCCCAGCTAATTTTTTGTATTTTTAGTAGAGACGGGGTTTCACTATATTGACCAGGATGGTCTTGATCTATTGACCTCGTGATCCACCCACCTCGGCCTCCCAAAGGCGGGTGATCATTTACTTTCGAAAATATTGTAAGCAACTCCAGAGTTCCTATCATTTAAGCTTTACTTTATAATCCAATTGTGCCACTGGAAATTATGGACACTTTGTTACAGAACAAGAATGCACAGCTACTCAGGAGGCCGACATGGGAAGATCACTTGAGTCCAAGAATTAAAGTCCCATTGAGGCAACAAAGCAAGACACTCATCTCTTAAAAAAATTAAATTTAGCCAGGTGTGGCATCTCACGCCTGTAATCCCAGCCTTTAGGGAGGCTGAAGTGGGCGGATCATGAGGTCAAGAGATCAAGACCATCCTGGCCAATAAGGTGAAACCCCTTCTCTAAAGAAAAAAAGAATACAAAAATTAGCCAGATGTGGTGGTGTGTACCTGCAGTCCCAGCTACTCATGAGGCCAAGGCAGGAGAATTGCTTGAACCTGGGAGGTAGAGGTTGCAGTGAGCCAAGACTGTGCCATTGCACTCCAGCCTGGCAACAGAGCAAGACACTGTCTCAAAAAAAAAAAAATCAATTTAAAAAATAGGAAAATGCTATTATCACATGTAAGAAGATCAACAATAAGATTTATGGAGTTTGTTTTTCCCCCCACCAAAACAGAGGCTCCCTGTCCACACCTTTTTTACCCCCAGTACGAATTGCTGGGTTGATCCCAGTAACTCTGAAAAGCTGGCCTGCAAAGGTGAAGGGATTATGCAAACAGCAAGAGGAGTGGAGAGAAGCAGACCAGGGAAAAAGGAAGAAACCAAAAAGGGATCTCGGTGTTTCAAAGACAAACCTTCAAAGTCCCCCAAAGACCAAAGTAGCCACATGAAAGGACCACATTTGCCTGCAGAACTCCCAAGGCTGGGAGAAGAAAAGGAGATCAGAGGGAAGAAGCCACAGACACACTTCACTGGACAGCCCCTTCTCCCCGGAGCTGTGATGTATCACAAAGCGTGGGATCAAAACTCTACAGAAGTGACTCATGGCAAACGGGGTCACAGGGACATCTGTCTGTGTCTATAAAATGCCCAAACAGCAGGACGAGAAATAAAAAGGGCAGCCAATTTTCCAGATGTTAACCCTAATCTCAAGGTCTTCCTGATGTCCAGCAATCACGGTCCGGATGTCCTTAGCCATGGGAAAGAAGGGGGTTGGGGCTGGATCCTCACTGCTCACACCACTGTCAGCCTGGTGGTACATAACCCCTGGGTGCCCACGGGGGTTACCGAGGGCGCTTTCTCAAGTCCTCCTGCCCAGAACCTACCCTAAGAGGCTCAGAATCATGTGGTCTGGAGTGGGGCCAATGCATGGGTGTATCGTAAAGCTCTCCAGATGATTCCAATGTGTTTGAGGGCTCTGATCTAAGGCAAAAGCAAGGTGCTTAAATCAACAGTCCGTTTTGATAACACAAACAGATTTTTGTTTTGTGCAGAAGATGGTGGCCTTTATGTTAAATTTTAAGGAAAAGATTCATTTAAATCCTTAAGCTGTAAAAATTGAGCTATTTCCGGCAAGACTCGGATTTCCAGGTTCTAATGGAAAAAACAAACAAACAGAAGCTCCCGCAATGTGGGTTGCATTTTCCTGGGGCCGGTCTCCCATTTAGACCACTGAGTTCTGCCATATTCTTGGCTCTGAGACCAGTGAGTTGGTTGAATCTTGTTCCTAAGGAATGCTGCCATTCAGATCTTTCTGTGGCCTCTCTTTAGATCATGCAAAGAATAATTCAGCTAAGACCACAATGGGGATGATCAGTTTCCATTTGCAACTTTTAGCTCTTCGCTACTAGAATAAAGAGTAGACAATGATAGTAAATACTTACTGAATTTAATATAATTGTGAAACTTCTTTTTCCCTGGGGGCCCTGATGATAGAAAAGGATGGTGAGAGCAGCGGCTCAAGTCAGGATTCCCAATCTCCAGCTTTAGTTTTATCAGTGACAGGAATCTGGGCAAGCGTTAAGCACTCCAGGTCTCAGTAATTTTATTTGCATGTAATAATGGGGGGTGAGCGTCAGCTGTCTTTTTGTTCTTGAAGTCTACATTTTTCTAGGTGCTAAATGATAGCAAGAGGAACACACAGAAGCGAAACAACAGCAAGTGGAAGGAAAAAATTGCACTTCCAGCTCATCTTGAGTCTGGACATGATTCACAGATGAACATATGAGCTGTCCATGCATCAGTGAGTACCTGGCCACCTTGGAGATGAGCCAAATGGAACTGGAGCCAGGAAGAGGCTTTCCCAGGAGTCCCTGCCTGGCCTCCCAGCAGCACACACATCCCTGTCCTGCAGGTGGCCTTTCTGTAAGAACACCAGGACATCTTGGAGGTCAGCAGTTGGGGTTTCAGCACAGACTGATTCCTCTCTCCTTCTAGCTGGAGGATTAACCACTGAGTCATGAGATTCACCTCCTTCCCTTCTTGCTCTAGAGAGAGCATCCTCTACTCAGACAAATAAACAGTTCGCTGTTTTCCTTGTAAACAGTGAGGACAAAAAGTACAGACAACAAAAAGCAAAAAGAATAAATGAGACTTTATCAAAACGGAAAACTTCTGCATATCAAAAGATACAATTAAAAGAGTGAAAAGGCGACCCACAGAATGGGAAAGAATATTTGCCAATCATCTACGTGATCATGGATCAACACCCAGAACATATAAATAACTCCTAAAATTCAACAGTAGCAACAACGAGCAACAAACCAACTAAAAAAAATGAGCAAAGGGTTTGAACAGACATTTCTCCAAAGAAGATAGAAAAATGGGCAATGAACAACTTAGGGGATACATGAATAATGGCGGGAAAGGAGAGAAATGGAAGGCTTTTCTTCTTCTCCCGCCAAGCTGCTTCTAGGCACTTCCTTCCTTGATCTCCCATCCTACCTGGTAAGAGAGAAGACTTATTTACCCAAATGGGGTCTGAGTTAATGATTTGACTTTAGTCAAGGCCACTGTGCTTTAAAATGCACAAACCATGGCTCTAACTCCTCTTTTTTTTTTTTTTTTTTTTTTTTTTTTGAGACGGAGTTTCGCTCTTGTTACCCAGGCTGGAGTGCAATGGCGCGATCTCGGCTCACCGCAACCTCCGCCTCCTGGGTTCAGGCAATTCTCCTGCCTCAGCCTCCCGAGTAGCTGGGACTACAGGCACGCGCCACCATGCCCAGCTAATTTTTTTGTAATTTTTAGTAGAGACGGGGTTTCACCATGTTGACCAGGATGGTCTCGATCTGCCGACCTCGTGATCCACCCGCCTCGGCCTCCCAAAGTGCTGGGATTACAGGCTTGAGCCACCGCGCCCGGCCTAACTCCTCTTTTTAAAATCCTCTTCAGGGCCGGGCGCGGTGGCTCACACCTGTAATCACAGCACTTTGGGAGGCCGAGGCGGGCGGATCACGAGGTCAAGAGATCGAGACCATCCTGGTCAACATGGTGAAACCCCGTCTCTACTAAAAATACAAAAAATTAGCTGGGCATGGTGGCGCGTGCCTGTAATCCCAGCTACTCGGGAGGCTGAGGCAGGAGAATTGCCTGAACCCAGGAGGCGGAGGTTGCGGTGAGCTGAGATCGTGCCATTGCACTCCAGCCTGGGTATCAAGAGCAAAACTCCATCTCAAAAAATAAATAAATAAATAAAATCCTCTTCAAGCTCTAAGCCCTCTCTTTAACATCCTCTTCAATTCCATGGGGCAGAGCTGGTCGGCTGAGCAAGGTCCTATTTGCTTGGGTCAAACTCAGCTCCATCTTTTCTCCTTCCTTGTCCTTGTTCTCAACAAATATACTTGGGAGAATGACTTAAGATGAGGTCTCTCCTAGAGATCTTGCCTCTTCTAAGTGCTTTCAATATGTGTATGAGAGTTCCCGAGTGAGGTGGTACCAAGGACCGGATTGGGGATAGATTGGAGGAACCATGATCCTTTTACAGCCTTTAACCAGCGCTAACTCTAGGCATAGGGTGCTTGCAAAACCACGAGTAGAATGTTCCAGGATCCTTATGCCGGTACAGCTTCTTCTATGTAGAGTTCTCCTAAAATTTCTGTTAGAGGAGAGGTAAATGGCAAACACTGATTTTATGACTCTCTTGGAATCTGGCCATAATACCAACAAAAGCACCGACACGCTCACCTTCATTTCCATTAAATATAACCAAGCAGAGAGAAACTTTAATGAAAGTTCATGTGAGAGGGGAGCGTGTAAGAAGCTTAAATACTAGAGCCATATCTTTCAAATTATAACCCCAGTCGGAATTCTATGCTGGCTCAGTTTATCATTCAGCAAAAACAGACTCTTCCATTTCATAATCTTAAAAAAATACATCCTAAGTTGGATATCTAATTCCTTTCTGTTCTTCAATTTAAAGCACAAAGACTTCAGAACTGAGCTAAACGGGTTACTTCAATCCCTAAGCTGTTGCTACGCTCTCATTTCTGGTCTGACACAAAAAGTTTTCTAACATTTTCTTTTCTTTCATTCCTCTACCTTCTCTGTCCTTTCTCGGGGAGTAACTGCAGCTCTGACTATAATCACATTTAAGAGGCTATATTTTCTCACACTTTTCTGACTCAGAGTATCACCTGAGGGACTTTGTTTAGCCATATTAGAGGCTTTTTCATAGATCTAATTCCCCAGTTATAATTCACAAGGGCAGCATTTATGTTCACCTTAAGGGATTTTTTTTTTCTCTTTCTTTCTTAAGTTGACTATGTCCTTGATCCACATAAAAGGATGTAATCTTGCTTGTTACTTATATTGTCTGTCTGCGAGGACGAATGTTTCATAACGGGTTTGTTTCCTAAATGGTAAATCTATAAACTTGTAATTCTATCAGGCCAAGATATTTAGGTGGATTCAGATGTGTCCCGTCCGTTATTTCGGCTCTGATTTCCCCAGAACTGATGACAGGTTTGTAAGTAATATTAACTGTCTTTTGTAGTAAATTACATCTTATAATCACCACAGCATTCGTCTCTGGCCAGAGCAGTTATCAGCTGAAGCAAATAAAGGGTTTGGAGACTCTGCTATCTGGTTCCTTTCAGAATGCCAGAAGTCCTCTATAAACACGAGTGTGCAGAATAAGAGGTCATCTTTTGAAAGCTATAATAAAACATGATTGTAACAGAACATGTGACAGCCTGCTTAGCAGAGCAGCCTCCTGACAGTGGCTCAGCTGGAGCTCAATGTTGTGCAGGAGGGGGACGAGGGAGGAGAGAGAAACAGGTAGGGGAGAAGGGAGAACAAAAGCCCCCAGGATTCTGTCTGGTGCATGTCGTGTTCATCAGCACCACAGTTAATTTCAAGGAAAAATATGTCTTTGAGAGGACACAAAATAATAAATATCTGAGTCTAGGTGTCCTACTAACTTGGATGATGGGTCCTCTAAGGGGAGTGAGTAAAATGGGACTGAAGTGCTCATGAATGCATTTCTAACCCTCTTCTTCTATGTATTCCAGTCCCAGCAACGCCACCCAGATGTCCTCTGCAGTTACCTGGGCTTTGTGGGGGAAGATGGCGATAGAATAGTGCGTTATATACACTCACTGAGACCTACGGACTGTGTTCAATGCGCTGTTGATTGTGGGTTAACACTTTGTACCAATGACAGGACATTGACTACGTGCAGAGTGCTGCTGTAGTTGACTAACAAATGTTAGCTCATTTAATGCTCACAGCTCTAAGCTAAGTGCGCTTGTTAATTGCCTCTGTTAATGCAGAACTGAGGGCTGCATTAAGTTAAATGCACCTGCTCAAGATTGCATAGCTAGATGGTGAGCACTGGGCTGGGAACCAGAGTGGTGGGGAAGTCCGTCCCCACAGCAGCAGTGCTGACCCACTCTGCCACACAGCTGTGAAGAGTACTAGTGACACTCATAAAGCAATAAAATGCTTAGCCCTATTTACACAGGGGAAAATCAAGTGTCTGCAAGTAAGAAATGGTAGGAGTTCTGTTACTGGCTTGAGAAGTTAAGTTCCTAACCACAAGACTCTCTTGTAAGTGTTTAAGCCCTTCAGTTGTGTCATTTAGTATTTTTCTGGAGTCTCCTTGTTCTTCTTAGTTAAGCAAAGTGTTCTGAGATATATCGTGTATTTTACCAGAGTACTTTAACTCCCAAGCAAGAGACTTATTACCATACCACGTCACATTTTCCCCAACACACGCAACCGTTAGAGGAGCCCTGGCTGATTGAAAATTTAAAATGGATCCAGAAATGTGGTTTTGCTTTACTTAAAGTTATGCAAAACCCCAAGAACAGTGCCGTTATCAACACCCATGTTCTGGATAATGATTTGTGACATGTCTTAAGATGAGAACAGTAGAGACATTTGGGTTAGAAGAGAAAAATTTGTTACAAGGACATGGATAATGCCAAATGACCATGTCAGATGATTTGGAACATAATGACTAGTACTTTTTTTTTTTTAATCTAAAAACATTAATCTTCTCACCTCCCAGAGAAAACAGCTGTTTACACACTGTGAGACATATCTTGTCAATTTTCACCTTACATACTATAAATATATTTTTAATTCATATGATCATACTTAGTAGTTTTTTGGCTTTATGTCTTTGTGAAATTTTTCATTTGCCATTACATATTCTTAAAAGCCATTTTGAATGGTAGCATGCTGTTTATCATATGTAGATAATAAACTACAAGTCCTTTTATAATGAACTTTTAAGGCGTTTCTCATGTTTCTCTATTATGCTAATTATCGGAATAATCACCTTTGTATATAACTGTCTGAACTACTCTTTATTTTCTACAGATTGATTAAGAAAATTACTGGGAGACGGCAAGAACATTGGTTTTATAATATTGGTTGCAGTTTTACTGTGGACTGGATGATCAATTCACATCTACCTAAACATCTGGTAATAGGAGAGTGGTTAAACAAATCAAGTTCAAATGTAATGTAAAATAACATGCAGTCTTGGCCAGGGGTGGTGGCTCACGTCTGTAATCCCAGCACTTTGGGAGGTGGAGGCGGGCAGATCATGAGGTCAAGAGATCGAGACCATCCTGGCCAACATGGTGAAACCCGATCTCTACTACAAATAAAAAAAGAAAAATTAGCTGGGCGTGGTGGTGTGTGCCTGTAGTCCCAGCTACTCAGGAGGCTGAGGCAGGAGAATTGCTTGAAACTGGAAAAACAGAAGTTGCAGTGAGCCGGGATCACACCACTGCGTTCTAGCCTAGAATGAGACTCCATCTAAAAAAATAAACAAATACATAAAATAACACAGTCTTTTAAAATAGTAAATAAGAATTTTCGACCCTGACAAGAAAGGATGTCTTAATTACATACTGGAACGAAGAAAAGACAAGTTAGAAACTATGTAGTGTCTGATCACATTTAAAAACCCCTACATGTTTATGAATGCATATCCTGCATAGAGGAAACGGATGCGTGTGTGAAGATGTGGATGTGGACACAGCTGTATGTGTACAGGCACATCTGTAAGGATGCCTTCTGCCACAAGTAGCGGAAAACCAAATCTGTTCAAAGTGACTATAGCCGTAAAGATACTCATTTTGTCTTAAGAATGCCAGAATAAAGGGCAGCCCTGGGCTTTCTGAGCAACTCCCTGATGTTACTAAGGACCAAGAGCCTTCCACTTTCTGTTCCACCATCTTTAGCCAAGTAAGTGTTCTGAGGATTCTCACGAGATAGTCATGGCGGCTCCAAGCATCACCACCACACCCAACGGCAAGGCACAGGTCATGATCAGTACAGCAAAAGGTGGCTGCTGATGTGGCTCAGTCCTTTTAAATCGCAAGAAAATCCTGCCCACCTTTGGTACCTGGTTTTAAAGGCTAGGATATTGAAGATCTGGCTTATCTAGATGAATAATGGAGGCAGGGAAAGGAAAGGGGGTTCAGATGGCTTTGGGATATACAACTGGCACACATTACCACCAAACAAAGTCTAGATGAATACCCTCAACTACTTCTCTACCTCCTTGGATGCTGGAGATTAGGCATGAAGATTAGAGAACTGTACTTAATAATTCATAGAATTTGCTAGGTTACATTTTATGCAGAATTTTATCAATTCCTTTTGTAATTTCTCCAGAAAAAGAACAGAACACAGCAATTCTAGTTGCAGTCAGGGTGACAAACAGCCACTGAAGGGGGCAAGAAAATAAAATCTTTACCAGGTTGATAAGAAAGCTTTCCAATAAGCTCCCCTCCTGAGAGCTCATTCATTCAGAAGACTGTGCTAGTGGCAGAAACCAGGGGCTTCCCAGGTTTAACTTAAAGCTAAAATCTGTGCGTATATGAATGTATCATGGGTGTGTATATTGACATCTTTAGCTATTTCGTTATCTCTGTATATCACTATATATAACTATCAGCTGTTCTCAACTGTAAATGACTTACTCCTCCCAGGGACATGTGTGTATTGTGTGCCGGTGTTCATGTGCATATATGCAAGAAGGAAGAAGGGCTTTGCTTACAGCCCAGCTAAGACATACAATTCAAAAGACACTATACTTCAACTTAGCCTTTACTCTGAAGTTCTATTCTCATTAATAGTTACCTATCTTTTTTATTTTATTTTGAGACAGAGTCTCACTATGTCACCCACACTGGAGTTCAGTGGTGCAATCTCGGCTCATTGCAACCTTTATCTCCCAGATTCAAGTGATTCTCCTGCCTCGGCCTCCCAAGCAGCTGGATTACAGGTACCCACCACCACACCCAGCTATTTTTTGTTTGTTTGCTTGTTTGTTTTTATATTTTTAGTAGAGATGGAGTTTCACTATGTTGGCCAAGCTGGTCTTGAACTCCTGACCTCAAGTGATCCACCCGCCTCAGTCTACCAAATTACTGGACTGACAGGCGTGAGCCACTGCACCTGCCCTACCCATCTCTTATCACAGAGTTGATGTAGATGCAGAAAGTAAAAGCGGAAGGAACACAGGAGTAGGACCCTGCTTCGGCAGTTAATTTTTTCCTAGTTAGGACAATTAATATGCATTCACATATTTACATTACACAAGTAAACAACTGCAATGATGTACCCCAGGGTCTAAGTCAGTATGAAGTTCCTAGTCGATTCAGTGAGAAAAGAATATAATTTTTAATGAATGTTGCTGGGATAACTGGACATCCACAGGCAAAGATATAAATGCAAAAACCCTTATCTCACCACATGCAAAAGTCAACTCAAAATGAATCATAGACCTAAACATTAGAGCTAATACTATACAACTCCTGGGGGCGGGGGGAACAGGAGTAAACCTTTGCGAACTTGGGGTGAAAAACAGATTCTAAAAAAATGACACCAAAAGAAAAAACAGTAAAAACTAAATTGGACTGTACCAATTTTTTAAAATTGTGCTACTGACAATCCATATAAAAAGTAAAAAGGCAATCCAAAGACTGGAACAGAATATTTTCAAATCATATATGTGATTTTAAAAGTTCTACTCAGAATATAGAATCCTTACACAAAACGTAAAAAGTTCCATTAAAACCCTCATATAACACTTAATAAAAAGTCTCCAATAATAAAACTTAATAAAAAGACAAATAGCCCTGTTTTAAAAATTGGCAAGGTAGCTTCATAGGCATTTGTGCAAAGAAGATACAACAAATGTCCAAGAAGAACATTAAAAAGATGCTTAATGCCAGTAATCATGAGGGAAATGCAAGTGAAATCCACAATGAGCTATTACTTCACACCCATTAGAATGGCGACGGTGAAAGAGACATAACAACAAGTACTGGTGAAGATGTGGACGAGGTGGAAGCCACACACATTGCTGGTGGGAATGTAAAATGGCACACCCACTTTGGAAAACAGTTTGGAAGTTCCTCAAAATGTTAAATGCAGAGTTCATATAACCCAGAAATCCCACTTCTAGGTATATATCCAAGAGAAATAAAAGCATAAGTACACAGAAAAACTTGTAAATCAATGTTCATAACGGATAAAAAGTGGCAACAACCAAATGTTTGTCAACCAGTGAATGGACAAACACAATGTGGTATATTCATAGAACAGAATTTTATTTGTCTACAAAAGATGAATTAAATTTTGACGCATGCTGCAACACGGATGGCCCTTGAAAACATTATGCTCAGTGAAAGAAGCCAGATGCAAATGTCCACGTACTGTACGATTCAATTTATATGACATAGCCAGAAGAGGAAATCCACAGAGACAGAGCAGAATGCTAGTGGTGCAGGGCTAGAGGGTGTGGAGAGGGTGCACAGGGTGTGAGTACTAATGGGAACAAGGTGTCTTTCCGGAGCAATAAAAATATGCTAAATTTAGAATGTGTTGATGGTGTGTTGATGATTGCCAAACTCTGTGAATATATTAAAAACCACTGAAGCATTCAGTTTAAACAGGTGAATTCTGTGGCATATGCATACCATGTAGTATGTGAACCTCAATTAAAACATTTCCAAAAAAAAGTACAAAGATGCATACCCTTGAGTTGTGCAGTGCACAACCTGAATACACTTATTTAGCAGTCCTAGCCCTCTGGTGTTGGCCCAAGCAGTTTAAATAATAAACTAGGTGCCCATAATGGAAAAACAGAAGTCTTTATATTAAAAACCTAGATTCCTGACTTCTCTTGGAAAATCAGAGTCAGATTCCTACACATAAACAGTCTGTGAGAGCTGGGCAGCCTCCGGGGCCATTCATCGCCGAGTTTGCCGCAGACTCCACCACCCCCTTTTGTATCTCAATTTAAAACTGAAAGTCAGCCACCATTCACAATGGTATGTACATTCTTGTTTTTCTCATAAAATTGTTAAAATAGGTTAAATGTGTGATCTTGTAGGCTTCCCAAGGTCATAGGAAGTATGGTTGTCTAGACAGGTCTTTTCAAATCTGAACGTCTTGTTTCCTTCTTCGAATCCTGGAGGCACCTTCCTGGGCACTTCATGCTCTCACTCAACAAAGGATTTCCCCCTATATATTCTTGCTAAGCTCCTGTCGTTCCTTATGAATTGTTCCTCTGCTTCATCACGATGAGAACACGTTTTGTGGATACAGACCAACTCAAGTGTCCTCAAACAGTATGATGTTTCCCTGGTAGTTAATGAATATTCAGCCCAAGCTGTAACATTGGGAGGAGGGAGGCTGGAATCTTCCACGTGCATGACTAATCCTAAACACCAAATTGGACAAAAGCAGTGGGATGGGATGGAGTCTACAATGCCGGTCAATCACTAGGCAATGAGACAAGCACTTTAAACACCCTTCCTCAATTTCTGTCATTCACAGAGCACCTTCCCAGTATTGCCATCTCTGCAGTCCTCATTTAAAATCTGACATATGCTAATGTGACCTGCCTTTCTGCCATCCAATTACTCTTCCTCTCTGTTCCAGTGCTACTGAATGGCATGCCTCTGTAAAATAAAGAAGAAATAAAATCTTCCTTCTTTCAAGCAATTCGCCATTTTATTTGCATAAATTAAATATTGAAAAACACATGAAGAGGGCACTCCCCTTACCACCATAAACTGGAAACCAGGAATGTCATCATGAAGAGACGGTACCTACAGAAACAAATAGAACCAAAGCAAAGCCATGTTCCTTGATTCTAGCTGGATCCCACTGTCAGCCTGAGGCTCAATTCTGCCTCTAGTACAAGGAAAACTGGCAAATGTCATCAAAAAGAAGTGATCACCAAACGAATATTTTCCTTTTGAGGCATCAGGAAGCTGTTAAGAAAAGGTGGATCTTTTTGATTTTTTTCTCTGTGATTCTGCATTATTTGAACCCTTCCTTTCAGTGTCTGAACTGATAATAGTAACACCTGGTAAATGTACATCCTGTATTGAGCAACACGTTTTAGGGAATACATGAGAGCCAGTAGGGCAGAGAGAGATGGGTATACTGAGGAGGATGATCTCTTGATCTCTACTCTCTATGTATAATCAGATGCTCAGGAAACCCTTGAGGAAGAACAGCTCATCAGTGACTTGCCTTGGTGAGTAGAATGGGAATGCACTATTTTAATGTCCAGGAAATATTTGCCCACTACAGAATAAACCCTACTTCAGCTACCTGTGAAGCTCTGTGCATGTCTACACACAGGTGGGTGCACATACACATGATCTTTCTCAGGGGACTATGAGCTTCAGAACTAAACAGATGCAAATTTCATCACTTGGTAGCAGAGCCTGTTTCCCCACATGTATAACTTCTCAGAGCAAAGAAAGCTATTACAATGAGAGCCAGTATTTGGACTCAATTGGTCTGACTGCAACGTTTCCCGTCTTACTATCCCAGCCTAAATGGCAAATGCACAGTCTATTTTATTGACGGTCATTTCTTAGGATTGTATAATTCTTACACACACCAATATGACATTGTTGTTTCTGTATTAGGAAACAAAATATTCTCCTTAATTATGAAGCACCTATCCAAAGACCCTGTGGGGATAGCTAAGAGAAAATAGAAGAAATGTACAGCTTCAGATAATACTCATCATGGAGGGAGATTATAATTAATATGTATGCAATGTCCAACTTATTGCCTACTATCACACAAAAGAAAGTCTAATATCTGGTGGTTATTATTCTTTCAATTTTCCTAAATTGAAATACTTCAGAGATGCTAAAGGAGTTCCAGAAAGAAAAGACGTTGGAGAGATGCATGTGAAATTCAGATTTACTCAGTCTTCCTACCCTGACATTGGAGGATGTGCCTTTAACTGTCCAAATCCCTACTTTCATGCACACAAAAGTCTAAAACTGTTCAGTTTCATATTCACAACTATATGACTAAATAATAGGAGTCATACAGCGCATAGTAGACATCCAGCAAGTATTAGTTAACATCTCTCTCTTCTGTGAAGCCAGTTCCAAAAATAAAAATTCAGTTCACAAAGAAAAGGTGCTTTCTGCTGTCCTTTCCCCAATTTTTTCCAAGGGGTTCCTTGGTGTGAAAGATGTTAATCTTGTTTTAAAAAGTGAGCTTTGTTAGTGCATTTAAAATGCAGCTCCTTCATTTACAAATGCAGATGCTGTTTTATGGGCAATTTTCAAATTAAATATAATAGTACAAATTAGGACAGAAACTAAGCGGCAGAAAAAGCAGAAGTCACGAGTTGGCCTGTGTCACAACAGATAGGACTAAGACAGAGAGCTACTGATGAAAAGCAGTCTCCACCATCTCACAAAAATGACTGCGTCACTCACAGTGCCTGCATGGCCTACTCTCCCACCTCCACCAGGAATTCGGGCAGGGGTTGCCCTGCTGTCCTTCCTAGAAGGAGCTCTGCATAATATGTGTAACACAAAGGTTTTTCTTTCTCCCTTTATGTCACCAAGCCTGGAGTGCAGCAGTACAATCTCAGCTCACTGCAACCCTCACCTCCCAGGGTCTAGTGATTCTCATGCCTCAGCCTCCCAAGCAGCTGGGACTACAAACATGAACCACCATACAGGCTAACTTTGAAAAAATACCTATTTTTAGTAGAGATGGGGTTTCACCACATTGGCCAGGCTGGTCCTGAACTCCTGGCCTCAAGAGATCTGCCCTCCTTGGCCTCCCAAAGGGCTGAGCTTACAGGCATGAGCCACCATGCCTGGCCAGATTTTTTGATAACAAAGGCATTTATTGTCTCATATACAGTGTGCTGACTCTTTGACAAAGAAATCTGAGAATTATCACAGCACTTAATATTTCACATGGGCTATCCTGCCCAGCCCACAATTATACTTGCCCACATCTTGCAGGTGCCAAAACCAAGCTCAGAGAGGTTGTGTAACTTCCCAAGGTGTAGTCCAGCACTGGGACTCAGGCAGTGTGACTCTAAAGTCTCCCATCACAGCCACTGTACTAACCTGAAGGTGCAAATGCATGCTCTATTTTAGCGCTCATTCCATAGAACTGTACAATTCTTGGCATGTCAGACACACTTGCCGATATAACACAGCTGTCCCTGCATTAGGAAACAAAACAGTCTCCCTAATTCTCAAACACCCACCCAACACCCTTCAGGAGTAGCTAAGAGGAAGTTGAGGGAATGTATGTCGATATGCACCCTCCTCCCATTTTCTAGAAAGATTCCTAGTACACATGTAAATATCCTCTGAATGCAGGGACGAAGAGGCCTCCAGCTAGGCACCATAAAGCCAATTTAGCTTCTTAAGCTGAGAACTGCTTTGTGAAATAATCCTGTAGAACTCTCACTAAATGAGTTACAAACTAGTCGCATGGGGCTTTCATTGAATTTACTCCTGAAAGCTATAAAGGACAATTGTCTCTGAACCAGGTACATCAAATACAGGCCTGCTACTGTGTAAAAGCATGGAATTCTATACCACCTACACACACGAAGAAAATTAGCTTTTGACTGAAAGGAAGCACTATTGAAAAACCCCAGGGAGGTGGGGAAGAACAACAAAAATGAATGACACCTACAGGCAGATCCAATGGTTGGGGCCATTTGGCTAAGGACTTTCTGAGTCTGAAAGGGGGAGAAAAGTACAATTTCTGAGGATCATGGAAGATAATCGAACTGGATCAAAGAAAAGTGTAGCTCTTGAAATTCTAAACAAGGAGAATTTAAATATGCCAGGCGAACATAAAAGTTCTCCGAACTCCATTCTGGGTATTTAACGCTGAAAAAACAGCAATGCACGTAAAACGCTATCGCTCTTCTCTCAATTGTCACTGTTTCAATTACCTTTTTTCTCTTTCCTTCTCTTTTCTACCTTTGGATCCCCAACCAAGTCTTAGAGCTACTGCTTAGGCTTTCTATCAGAAGAGGAATGACTTGAAATCTCGGACATTATGGATTTTTTTCCTTCAAGTCCATGAAGTAGCTATGGGTGGAGCTGAAACTACCTTTGTAAAAATTATAACTGAGAAAATGTTAACAGCGAAAGACAGATAAGACCTAGCTGGCTCCATCTTGCTTCTAACCTCCAAGCTGTCCTTGTTCACTTCTGGGCATAGGCTGAAATAACTTTGGAAGGAATTTTATAGTTTATAGTTTAACTCTGAAACAAAGATGAGAGGAGTCCTTTCCCAAAACAAGCTCCCTTTGTGCCTGGGAACTAGACTGCCTTTGCAGGACTAACAGATCAGCTATAAGATTAGAAATTATGGTTTAGGAGTCAAGCAGCTACGAGCTGCAAGATTTTGAACCTCCTCAAATTGCTCCTGGGATAAGATCACTATTGTAAAACCTACAGACTCTGCACTTGATGGATTAGCTGGCACCATTCATATCGATCAACTGGCTCATCTGGTCATGTGGCCCCCACCCAGGAACTGACTCGGTGCAAGAGGACAACTTGGACTCCCTACAATTTCATCTCTGACCTGGCCAGTCAGCACTCCTGCTTTCTGACCCTCTGCCCACCCAACAATCCCTAAAAACCCCAATCCCTGCTGGGCATGGTGGCTCATGCCAGTAATTCCAGCACTCTGGGAGGTTGATGCAGGCAGATCACGAGGTCAGGAGTTTGAGACCAGCTTGAGGAACACGGTGAAACCAGGTCTCTACTAAAAATTAAATGATAATAATTGGGCATGGTGGTGCACACCTGTGATCCCAGCTACTCAGGAGGCTGAGGCCAGAGAATCGCTTGAACCTGGGAGGTGGAGGTTGCAATGAGCCGAGATCAAACCACTGTACTCCAGCCTGGGCGACAGAGCAAGACTCTGCTCAGAAAAACAACCACCAAAAAAAAAAAAAAATCCCTGAGTTTTCCGGGAGACGGATTTGAGTGATAATAACACTCTGGTCTCCCATACAGCTGGCTCTGAGTGAATTAAACCTTTTTTTCTATTGTAACTTCCCCGTCTTGATAAATCAGCTCTGTCTAGGCAGCAGGCAAATAGAACCCAATGGATGGTTAGAGAGTTCTGTTGCTTTTGCCAAATAGTTTCAAAATAGTTTCTTTTCTGGCAGTGGTATTCTGCTAAAGTTGGTACAGCCAATATTTAGTTTAATTTTTCTTTTTTTTTAAAAAAAAGTAGGTGGAATAAAATTAGAAAAGCACGATTTCACTACTATCAGTGTAATAACCAATTCTGACAAGGGTCCTCCATGCGGAAAGGATGATGGAAAAAGGATACTTAGGTAGTATCAAAGTACAGACCCACAGGGGATTCCCTAAGTACCAGGCTAGTTTATACTGGGGAAATCTGTCAGTTACCCAGTGACCAAATTTGCTGCCACAAATAATGGGACAGACGGACATGAAGTGCCCTCAGCTAAGGGGGCAGTGAGACGGTCAGCATGGCCTGGGTACTACTCTCCACAAAATGCTGAATTTAAATGAGCTACAAGGAAATAATCAAATAAGTCCCGATTTTAAAATGTTACACATAGGAGGCTGAGGCAGGAGAACTGCCTGAACCCAGGAGGCGGAGGTTGCGGTGAGCAGAGATTGCGCCATTGCACTCCAGCCGGGGTAACAAGAGCGAAACTCCGTCTCAAAAAAAAAGACTCGAACCCACAGATGCAGAGAACAGAATGGTTGTTACCAGTGGGGAGAGAGGGGAGTTGGGGGGATATTAGTCAAAGGATAATGACAGTTAGATAAGAGGAACGAAATCAAGAGATCTATTGTACATCATGGTAAGTACAGTTAGTAATAAGGTATTATATACTAGGAAATTGCTAAGAAAATCGATTTTAAGTGTTCTCAACACACACATACAATAAATAGGTGACATAATGCATGTATTAATTTGACCTATTTAAACTCAATTTAACATTCCACTATACATATATATTTCAAAACATCATGTTTTCCATAATACTTACACACAATTTTTAATCAGTCAACCTTTTATTGTTAAGTTTTTAAAAGACTCGTTGATGAAATCTTTGCCCTTCCTGCAATCAGTTTATATGGTAATAGTGCAGTTAATACAAACCCTGCTTCTCAGGATGGGTGAACAACTGAGGTCTGGCCAGGACTTACCCTGAATCACTAAAAAGAAGGTTCTCTTTGCCGTCAGTCTCCTGAGCTGGAAGGATGTAAGCTTATCCCTGCTGGAACCCATCTGGCCATGTTAAGGGAACAGCCTGAAAATATGTGGTGTACCAGAGTGTGTAATGTGGGAAGAAGTATTCCTGGCAACATCATCTGACCAGTTTGATTCAGCTTTGTCCCAAACCAGCTATATACGTAGGTGTTTCAATCACATGAGACAATACTTTTTCTTCCTTAACCCCATTCAAGTCCGGTACACGGCACTTGCCACTGAAAAGATCTCTGATTAATAGAACAAAAGAAAGTCACAAATATCGGATGCGCACAATTGAGACACACTGGAGATAGATTACTACTGGGTCTGTGTATGCTGCTGGCTTTGCTCATTTTGTAGGTATCTTAGGAATGAGTGTTTCTTCCACCATCTATCCACAATGTAGAATACTCTGAGGTTGCAACATGGGTAGTTGAAAGAAACTGCTGAGGCCGGGTGCAGTGGCTTACGCCTGTAATCCCAGCACTTTGGGAGGCCGAGGCGGGTGGATCACAAGGTCAAGAGATCGAGACCATCCTGGTCAACATGGTGAAACCCCATCTCTACTAAAAATACAAAAAATTAGCTGGGCATGGTGGCACATGCCTGTAATCCCAGCTACTCAGGAGGCTGAGGCAGGAGAATTGCCTGAACCCAGGAGGCGGAGGTTGCGGTGAGCCGAGATTGCGCCATTGCACTCCAGCCTGGGTAACAAGAACGAAACTCCGTCTCAAAAAAAAAAAAAAAAAAAACAAAGAAGAAAGAAAGAAACTGCTGGTTCTCACATCTACCTATCTGAGCAAATTGGGATTTTCTCAATACTGTGTAGTCTGAACACAGAAACCACTGCTTATGGGTGCCACCCGGACCTCCAGATTCTAAACCTCTGAATTAATCCTAACCAACATTGCTTCTGATGATAGGTTTGTAAGCAAATGTGATGCATTTCAAATTAAGCATGACTTTAGTATGAAATGAAATACAGCTAATACCTGTTTTACACATTGTGGTATATATTATTTCACTTAGGGGAACATGTACTTCACTGTTTTAAAAGTTTCAAACTGCTGTCTGGACACACTTGAATTACTGCAGAAAGAATTGTGTATGATTGCTCCTAAATGACACTTCTACAAAACTCACGCATACCCACTTTACAGAATGTCCTTAAAACTATGCATTTCAATGCACAGATCTTTATCCAAAGGATCAGAGCAGGAGAGGAAGAAGAAGAAAAAAACTAAATGAGTTTTGCTGTGATGGCCAGCCAAGGACATGTGTTTTACCCCCTTTGCTCTGCAGCAAACAGATGCATGATTACAGAACAAACAATTATCATTCTGAGCATTCACGATTGTTTACTGCATTATTCTCATGCAGAAAGACTCTGTTCTTGATCTAACCAACAACACAGCACCACCACAAGAGTGCAAGAACCCCACACAGCCCAATGCGGGAATTAAACAGATCTCAAAGTCACAGAGGCAAAGACCTTGCAAAACATGTCAAGATGAAAAATGGCACTTGCAACATTTCTTTTGAATGTAACATGGGGGATCTATGGTTCTATTCAAAAGGGACCAAGAATGCAAGTCAACCTTAGAATTAAAACTGAAAATACAGTTGAAGTAAAAGGCAAGAAGGGATGGTTCCAAATCTTTTGAGACCGTAACAGCACCTCCTCACACCAGAAATGTGTGATTACAAAGCTTCATGATTGCCCTGCAAGTGTACCTCTTATTTCACACATACATGACAATAAAGGTTTCCTCTTCTCTAACATAATGGTTATCTATTAAGGCATCATTTTTGGAAAAATAGCCTGGAGGACATTAGAATTGCTGGCACTGCCTTGGAATCATTTTTTTCTTTGTATGAGACTGGAAGAGATGAAAGTTCTAAGCATTGTGTATTATTAAAGCGCACAGAGGCCAGCCTCTCTGTATCTCAGAGAAAAAGTGACACCTGCAAAGCCCTGACCAGCTGTCTCTTTGCCTGGAAATCCGGCTTGTCTGCATTGCTGGTTGAGAATCCTTGAGGCTGATTCCCATTATCTTAACAAGAGGAAAAGAAGTTGGCACTGGTTTTTAATACAGATTCCTAATCTGTGTTGAACATGACCAGAGAGAGAACATGAGAGAGAGAGAGAACATGACCAGACATCCTCATTTTCTGTTGAAACTACAGCTCAGTATGAGACATCGGCTGGAGGGTGCTGGCAAAACTATCTAACATCGTCTCAATCCCTCAGTGATCGGTGCCAGGCTGACCCTGCCTGGGTGGGTGGCAATTCCCATCTTCTGGCTGAGGGCGCAAGGACTGGAAGTAGCTAGGGGTCATTCCGGGGTACTGTGTTTTAACTGTTAACACAGGCTGGGCACAGTGGCTCATGCCTGTAATCCCAGCACTTTGAGAGGCCACAACAGGTGAATCACTTGAGGAAAGAAATTCAAGACCAGCCTGGAAACATGACAAAACCCCTTCTGTGCTAATAATACAAAAAAATATGCTGGTGTGGTGGTGTAGGCTTGTAATCCCAGCAACTCAGGAGGCTGAGGCAAGAGAATTGCTTGAACCCAGGAGGCAGAGGTTGCAGTGAGCTGAGGTGGTGCTAGGGCACTGCAGCCTGGATGACAGAGCAAGACTATGTCTCAAAAAAAAAAAGGAAGGGAAATAAAACACAGCTTTTCTGCTGTTCTCTTCTTTTCCTGTTCCTAACTCACTGACCTCCAAATGATGACAGTGTGGTTTGTTCACACTCACAGCGCCACCTTTGCTGGGCCGTCAACCTTCATCTCACAAGAGTTCTCTTTGGTTTACCGAGAAAAACAGATATAATTACGCCAGGGACAATGCTTACCACACATTAGGAACACAGAATACATTAGGGGACTCTGAGTTCTGTTCCTTTCTGAATGGCCTTTCAGTATTTGCAGTTGACTTTTTTTTTTGTTAAAAGAACCTTCTACATTGTTGAGTTTTAAACAAAACCACGGTTGTTGTTGTTGTTTATTTGTTCTGCAGTTTTGTCAGCTACCAAACTGGACCGATGAGGATACGATCGTCTTTCTTTACAGACAAGTGCAGCCGAACTGATTAGTTCCTAACATCTTCCAATCCTATTATTTGTAGATTCCCCTACTTTTCAATGAGTAAATAAAACAAGCTGGGGATGAAACATTTATTTTGGCATCACGCCAACCTAATTAAACTGCAGTTTCATTCGGCTGCAGCAGGCTGCGGAAAAATAATGTAATTGACCTATTAAAAGTTACTACTTCAGTTCAGTTTTCTGAGCTACAAGAAATTGCACTGTGATTTAAAATACCTAGTTACCTTGACAAAACCAGCCAGAAAGCGAAGAACTAAGAGTCACAGAGAATGGAGAGAATCCAATTAAAAAGAAGACAGGTAACAAGATGCTCTCCCCAATCCCAATTACTTGGAGGGAAGCAATAAAACGTAAAAATGGAAGCTAATAAAGTTCTAGTTATTTCCTCCATTGACTGAGCACTGTTCATACACGGGGCTAGCGTGAGATGTTCCCCCAAAACTTAACACTGTGGTTGTGTGAGGGGCATTTGTTGGTGCCGCCTATCATTTCTCGACTTTGCCACCAGCGGGTCCATTGCTCTGCAACCCATCCGTGTCCCTCTCTCAGACCAGGTGGTACAGGGAAAGGTAGTGCCCAGTCCTGAAGCTGCACATGTGTTCCAAACTGGTCAATCAGTGCCCCGTGCCCCTGACCACAGTGATTTATTTATTCTAGGACCCATTAGAACTACTCCCGGGACTTTCACTGAAGCAATCAGGAAATAAGATCTCTGTCTTCCAGCTGGTTTTCTGAGTGGACACACCTGGCTCCGATACTATCCATCCTCTTCCTTATGGGGAACACTAACCTGAGAGTGGAATCAACTCCAAAGAGAGGGGTGAGGTGAGGGTGAGAGGGAGACACACAGAGCAAGAGACAAGAGAGGAGAGTGAGGTCCAGAATTAATAGATTCAAGGAAAGGAGAAATCAGGACGGGAGGAGAGAGAAACTGCAAAAACAAAAACCAGTAAACAGAACTGTGGCTTAGAGAACCAGCGGCAACTGAAGCTCAGTTCAGTTTTCATTGAAATGAACAGTAACATTTCAAAAAGGAGTGGGGAGGGGAGGCTAGGGAAGGGGTGGGAAAGGGAGGGGAGGAATGAAGAGAAAGGAAGGGAGCAGTGGACAGGAGAGGAAGAAGATAAGAAATGGAGTGAGAAAAGAGAAATGGTGAAGGAAAAGAGAAAAGAGAGAAAAAAAGACTAAATCCCGATTTTATTGTTCGACCTCTTTGATCTCTGATGTCATCATTTAAGTATTTAAAATGAATTTAACCTTTGATTGCGGAGGTCCAGAATTAATAGATTCAAGGGTATTTTATGCACCTGACTCCATATGCAGTGTTAGGGCCTTTGAGGTCCAAGGGCACCTAGTAATATTTGAAAATAAAAAAATAATAGTGGCTCTAACATTTCAAGGAGCAAAGACAAAATTAATAACTGCTTAATTTATTTCTCCAAAACGCAACATTATGTCAGCATCATTAATTGTTAAATTTAGTGTTAATAAATATTTTATTATATTGGAAGACAAGTTGTCCATTATTTTTCTCTCATAATAATTTTCAAGTTTAGGCAATGATTACTGAGAAACAGTAGCTAATCATAAATTCAATGAGCTATTAAGAGTTAGTTCACTTCAATAGCAAAGTGATAATTCTTTTGAAACTTTTACTATCAAAAAATTGTGTTATATATTAAAATGGGGTACATTTTAATATGGCTTAAATCAGCTTTCTCAGCCTCCCTGCTATTGAAACTTAGAAACAAATAATTCTTTGCTGAGGGGAAGAGAGCTGGTCTGTGCCTCGCAGGACAGCATCCCTGGCTTCCCCCATTAAATCCTGGTGGCATCCTTTCAAGATTGCCAGTATCCTTTGGTGGGGGGGAAATACCCCGGTTTGATAATGATTGGTTTATATGAATATCTAGGGCAAAAGAAAACCCTGAAATGTTGAAATGTCTCTGATTCTCTTTGACATATAACCTCACTGGCTTCCTTGAGGGACATAACACCAAAGCTAAGAATCTGGGACACACATCCAATTTCACGAAGCTTGAGTCCCCAGTCAAACCTGCCTCTACTTCCAGGTGACCTACCTCCATGAACACAGCTCTGAGTCCCTCATTAAGAAGCCAAGCAGGACCCACGAGGGAAGCCCCCTAAGCAGCCTGGGGAATCAACAGATCACCTGTTTCTGAGAAGGTCATGGAGTATTTTCATAGAGAGGCAGCATTACTGAAATGAGATCGAACTCTGCCTTCTGCACAGGAAGGGACCATTGCCAGTCAGCACTCACCCATGGATTGCTTCACCTCAGCTAGACCATCAGAGCCCAGGGCAGAGGTCTGCATGGTAAAGAGTGAGACTTGTTTCCCAAAGCAGTCAACACGGCTGGGGGAAGGAACCCCATACCAGCCGCCAAGAGCAAAACCACCACAATAAAGAATTTTTAAAGACTCAATCAAATAACCACCATCTCCAATGTAGAGGAAGCAAGGGTGCTGGGTTTGTGCTTTACGGGGATCACCACAAAAGCAAAGAGACGAAACTCTGTGTAGGATATAAATTTTGAAGTAGCCAGACCAAAGGGGAAGCTTCCCTCGCTCTCAGGAAATCCTACTTGAGGAGGCTTCATTAGGGATGGGCATGGTATAGGAACTCATTAGACTCTGGTCTGCCCACACAGACCTACCTGTCCCTTCAACTGTATAGGGATAACTCAACAGGCACAGCAGGGAAAATGGAGAAGGGAAAAGAAAATGATGTTGGAGAAATATTTATGCCATTCTTCTAAAATCAATTGTTATTATTGGAGAGTCTCACTCTGTTGCTAGGCTGGAGTGCAGTGGTGTGATCTCAGCTCACTGCAACTTCCACCTCACAGGTTCAAGCAATTCTCATGCTTCAGCCTCCCAAGTAGCTGGGATTATAGGTATGTGACACCACACCCAGCTAATTTTTGTATTTTTAGCAGAGACAGGGTTTCACCATGTTGGCCAAGATGGTCTTCATCTCCTGCCTTGGCCTCCCAAAGTACTAGGATTACAGGCATGAGCCATAGCGCCTGGCCTAAAATAACATTATTTTTGACACACTTCATCGAAAGCAAAATCTATTCTTGAAAATGCTTCAGAAGCTTGTCTTTACAATTACGATTTTGGAGGAGGAAAAGCAAAGAAGAACGAAAAGCCCAAAGAGATATCCAGGGGGCTGTGACAATGCTTACCTGCTCTTTCTGGAAAACTTAAGTTCCATTTAGGCATCGGTTAAGACTAGGCATGTTTTGAGGGTCCTCGTCTTTGTGATAACAAGATCTGAGCCTGAATCTAAACCCCAGTGATGCATCAGCTGTGTGGGGCCAGGGAGCGAAGTTTTCTGAGTCTCAAATAGTGTCATCTCTAGAATGGTAAGGAGAAAAATGATTCTAACCTTGCAGATTTGTGACTGGGTTTACTTTATATACCCCACAAAAGAATCTATCCAAGATTGGTCCCTCGATACGGTTATTATTATTCACCCCCCTGTGACATTTCTAGTTTTGCAGAATTGAGCAAACATGTATTTATTTTTCCATTATTTGTATGTTTATGAAGAAGACCATAAGGGATGTCTTAGGGAGCTTTTAATCTTTCCTGGTGTTTATTATTGTGGCTTTGCATATCAGTGTAGCTTAATGATCAACTGGCTCTTCATTGACCACATAATTAGGAAGCAGTACTCCTCTCCAGATAATTGGCAAATCTGTGTTATGACTCCAGTTTACCTGGAAATAGTTATCAGCACACTGAGGTGAATCAAAATTTGTGATGGAAAAAGTCAACGATAATAATCCCTTAAAAGATAAACAGGTCTGGCAGAGCACAGTAGCTCATGCCTGTAATCCCAGCACTTTGGGAGGTTGAGGTGGGCAGTTCATGAGGTCAGGACTTTGAGACCAGCCTGGCCAACATGGTGAAACCCCATCTCTATTAAAAATAAAAAAAAAACTAGTGGGAAACAGTGGTGGGCACCTGTAATCCCAGCTACTTGGGAGGCTGAGGCAGGTGAATCGCTTGAACCCAGGAGGCACAGGTTGCAGTGAGCCGAGATCGCACCACAGCACTTCAACGTGGGTGGCAGAGCCAGACTCCATCTCAGAAATGAAAAAAAAAAAAAAAAGAGATGAACAGGTTCGTGAACCTATACATAGTATCTGTATACTACTTTAAAAAGGACTAAGGACTGAGGGCTGGAGGCAGTGGCTCACAGCTGTAACCCCAGGACTTTAGGACGCTGGTATGAGAGGAGAGCTTGAGGCCAGAAGTTTGAGACCACCCTGGGCAACACAGTGAGACCCTGTCTCTAAAAAAAAATTGTTTTTTAATTAGCAAGGTGTATTTGTCTGTTCCCATGCTGCTAATAAAGATATACCTGAGATGTGGTATTTATAAATGCAAGAGGTATCATTGAGTTACCGTTTAGCATGGCATGGGAGGCCTCAGAAAACTTCTAATCATGGCGGAAGGGTAAGCAAACAGGCTCTTCCTCACATAGCAGCAGCAAAGAGCAGAGCAGAGCAAAGGAGGAAAAGCCCCTTATGAAGCCCTCAAGTCTTGGGAGAACTCACTGGCGATCACGAGAACAGCGTGGAGGTAACCACTCTGATGATTCAATTACCGTCCACCAGGTTCTCCCTATGACACATGGGGATCATGGGAACTACAATTCAAGATGGGATTTGGGCGGAGACACAAAGCCAAACCATACCAGCAGGTGTGGTGGTGCACGCACACAGTCCCCAGCTGCTCAGGAGGCTGAGGTGGGAGGGCTGCTCGAGCCCAGGAGGTCAAGGCTACAGTGAGCAGTAACTGCACCACGACACTCCAGCCTGGGTAACAGAGCAAGACCTTTTCTCAAAAACACCAAAACAAAACAAAAACTGGACTGAGCATGAACAGTTTGACATAAAACATTAAAACAGATTTAAGTAAAACCAAAATAGAAGAAAAGATAGCATCATTTCAATAGACTCGTTTTTGAGCGAAGATTTTTCAATTTTTTAAAAATATTTTTATAGGTTTTTGGAAAACAGGTGGTGTTTCGTTACATGAATAAGTGCTTTAGTGGTGATTTCTGGTATTTTGGTGCACCCATCATCTGAGCCATAATTTGTACACTGCACCCAATTTGTAGTCTTTTATCCCTCACCCCACTCCCACCCTTTCCCCCAAGTCCCCAAAGTCCATTGTATCATTCTTAGGCATTGAGCAAATTTTTTTTTAGCAACAAGGAAATATACTTTAAAAATCTGTATTTTATTTAATAAATATATTTTTATCTATCTTGCTTTGATCCTAATAAAACTTGAGAGAACTGACTTGAAATAAATGGAAAATTTTCTGTTTCTCCTTCACTCTGTTTCTCTCTCTCTAGATTCCTCTCTCCCTGTTTTTCTCTCTCTTTCTTCCTATGTCTGTTTTTCCAGTGCTCCCGCACACACACACACACACACACACACACACACACACACCCCGCTAGCAGACATCCCCTACTGGGCACATTGTTTGGAGTTTAGGAGAGAATGTTTCTGCTGAGTGAAATGAAGAACAGAGCTTCATTTTACCATGGATTTTTATTTCTCCCAAATACCCTTAGAAGCACATCAGTGTTCCATCAACTACCCAGCCAAGGACAAACGGAAGAGGACACCATCCATCCATAAGGTCATGAATCACAACACACTTTCACCCACTGCTGTGTCCCAAGGACATTCCTTTACTACCTTCCCACTACCCTGCTCTCAGACTCTCCCATGATGATCCATTTTAGGCCAGGATTCTTATGCACTTGAGAAAAGTGTTTTGTGATGACATGCAAAAGTTTTTTTTTACATTCCCCTATCACTACTTAAGACATAAGGTAGGCTGGGCGCGGTGGCTCAAGCCTGTAATCCCAGCACTTTGGGAGGCCGAGGCGGGTGGATCATGAGGTCAAGAGATCGAGACCACCCTGGTCAACATGGTGAAACCCTGTCTCTACTAAAAATACAAAAAATCAGCTGGGCACGGTGGTGTGTGCCTGTAATCCCAGCTACTCAGGAGGCTGAGGCGGGAGAATTGCCTGAACCCAGGAGGCAGAGGTTGCAGTGAGCTGAGATTGTGCCATTGCACTCCAGCCTGGGTAACAAGAGCGAAACTCCGTCTCAGAAAAAAAAAAAAAAAGCCATAAGGTAATGATATGTAAAGTGCTATCTGATGTCTAGTACTAGTCAGAATTCAGGTAACTGATCATTTTACTTGACTGTTTGCAACATTGAGCTGCAAGATTGTTGAGGACTAGGTCATTATTTTATGCTATAACACAGAAAATTAATTTTAGAAATAACTCTTCAATGAAATAAGCACTGTTGGGTGACACCCTTCATTACAAAACCTGCGCCTTCCTCACTGGGTAACCTTGTCCAAGTGACTGAAGCTCTCTGAACCCCAGCCTTCTCATTTGTATTACATTGCTTTTGTTTGATGAAGAAAATATCCTTCCACATAGTTCTTCCTGCTTCACCATCTGTTTTTGTCTTGTTTTGTTTTTCTGAGTACATAGTAGGGATACAGGAGGGAAAAGGAGACCATGTGACTACCTCTGGCCAATGGGATTTGGTGGAAGTAGAATGTGTCACTTTCTGGACAAAGCACTTGACTACCACTGTAAGACATCCAGGTGGAATTCCTCTGGGACAATGTGAAACTACTTATTGATATGGCTGGTTCCTAACACTAAAACCACTGTGAATGATCAGCCAATACACCCTGAAGAGCTTCTCTGGAAAGTGTCCCAGCACCTCAATGAACTTTCATAAATAAGAAATAAATCTTTCTTGTGTTATACCAGAGATTCCAGAGCTATTTGTTACTACAGCACAACTTGGTGTTCCCTGACTGATACAAACTAGAGAGTTGGAAAGAAAATAAAAAGAGATAGCACATAAAATGTTCTAAGCATTGGAATTGGTACTTATATTTAATTAGCTCTTATTGACAAAATTTAAGGATTATTGCTCCCAAATCTAAATATTTGCATTCAGTTGAAACTCCATTGATGAAAATATGCAGTATTCCATTAGAATGATGTTAAGCAGTGTAGATGCTAATACAGACACCCTCCACATTACAGAGGCTAGTCCAGTCATAGCAGGGAAGAGTGGGGAGCTTCTTGATCCACACAGTCATTCAGGGACCCAGGTAGATGATGAAGACTCCATTTTTCACATGTAGCATACAAGGTCAAGTGGGTGTTCATCAGAGGATGGGGGAAAAAAGAAGTTTGGAGCATCCCAGAGAGAGCTTTTGGGGGCCAGTCCTGAAAGATGCATTTCTTCCCACCTGTCACTGGGCAGAATTCAGTCACAGGTTGCTGCTTAGATAAAAGGTGGGGTGGAAATGTATCCCTAGATGGGCAGTTCTTGATTGGTTATTTATCTTTGCTGGGGAGAGGAACATAAATTATTAGCAGATGGCCAGCGACCTTGGCACTGTATCTTTTAGTATTTGCAGAAAGCAATTTCCCAACAGCTGTAAAATCTTTGCCTTGGCTTAACGCCCCTCCCCCAGGATTGTGGGAACTTACTTTTATTTAGCATAAATCCCTAATGTTGCAGTAAAAAATTATTGCCTCTTTTGTTTTAGTACATAAAATATCCTTCCATATGGTTTGAGCTCAGCCACCACCTCCCTCACCCTGCCAACAAAAATAGGAACAATCCCCCATTAGCTGTTATTTCCTCCCAGTTTAGGTTCTAAGAAGCTTCAGAGGACTCAATAAAAACGTACCTAAGCCCTAAACCAGGAGGGTGAGCCATATCATTTTGAGGTCCTCAAGTTTTTAAGACCCTTCAGAGAATGAAGAGCTCAGAGTACAGCAGGTCTTTACCATTTGGTTATAATGTTAAGAAAAAAAAAAAAATCGACTCCCAGCTGGGTCCACTGTCTGTGTGGAGTTGGTATGCTTCGCCATGTACGTGTGGGTTTTCTCTAGGTGCTCTGGTTTCCTCCCACATCCCAAAGATGTATGTGTTTGGGGAACTGGCACGTCTATAACATCTCAGCATGAGTGAGTGTGGGTGTGCACACATCCTGGCCAGGGTGGTGCCTACCTTGTGCCCTGAGATGCTAGAATAGGATCCAGCCACTTGAAAGCCTGAACTGGAGTAAGCCAGATGCAGAATGAAAGAATGAATACTCATGATTGTCAAAAATGGATAAAGTAGATGATAATCATAAAAATGCACAACAAGAAACAAAGCATTATGAAAGCGCCCAGTGAGCCTGCCGTGCTAGTCATTGTTTTTGTACTGTGATGGGGGATGTACTCCTGACAATTTACGCTTTGAAAAAAAAAAAAAATATATATATATATATATATATTTTATGTAACTCATCAGGCCTACTGCCACCATCACTCAGTGATTCATCAAAAACTGGGTAGATCATTATGTTGCTTGTTTTTATTCATCTTTTCATTTTTTTATTCTTCTATTGAAATGGAGTCTCACTCTGCCTCTCACGCTCCAGTGCAGTGGTGTGATCTTGGCTCACTGCAACTTTTACCTCCCGGGTTCAAGTGATTCCCCTGCCTCAGTCTCACAAGTAGCTGGGATTACCGGCATCTGCTACTGTGCCCAGCAAATTTCTGTACTTTTAGTAGAGACGGGGTTTTACCATTTTGACCAGATTGCACTCAAACTCCCAAACTCAGGTGATCCACCAACCTCCGCCTTCCAAAGTGCTGGGATTACAGGCATAAGCCACCACACCCAGCTCTTTATTTATTTTTTTTAATGTGTATATGATTCACACGTGTTTTCATGTTTAATGTTAGAAGTGTTTTGGGTCTTTACAAGATCAGTGATGTTTTTATGACCAGAAAAGTTATATCAATCATCCCACAGTAAAGTATCTTCTGTTACATGTCATTTTGCTTAAAGTCGCAATTTCCAATAATCTACCAACAATGCTGAGAGCACTTAGTGAACATTTAAATTAGAGGAAAATATAAATACACAAGGACCAAACGATGTGCATATACTTCATCAAGCACATCACTGCATGTAGACACCAGCATGTAATTATCTTTATCAGAATTATGGTATGACACACCCCAAAAAATGACTCACAGACATAAAATCAGGCTGTGCATTTTTCTAAAGGCAGATTTTAAAGACTGTGTAGAATTCTGTCCTGTCACATTGCGGGTGGACCCCAGGCCATGTCTCAAAGAGACTACCAGATGTGATTCCTAGTTGCTTTTTCTTAATAAAAGATATACACAGAAATGTTTATTATACTGAGAGCCACCTGCCCTGGCAGATGACATTTTTTTTTTTTTGCAATGGAGTTTTGCTCTGTCGCCCAGGCTGGAGTTCAATGGTGCAATCCCAGCTTGCCGCAACCTCCGCCTCCTTGGTTCAAGCGAATCTCCTGCCTCAGCCTCTGGAGTAGCTGGGATTACAGGCATCTGCCACCATGCCTGGCTAATTTTGTATTTTTAGTAGAGACGGGGTTTCTCCAAGTTGGTCAGGCTGGTCTTGAACTCCCCAGCCTCAGGTGATCTCTCCACCTCAGTCTTCCAAAGTGCTGTGATTACAGGCATCAGCCACCACATCTGGCCTTTTTTTTTTTTGACACTGAGTCTCACTTTGTCACCCAGGTTGGAGTACAGTGGCACAATCTCAGCTCACTGCAACCTCCACCTCCTGGGTTCAAGAGATTATCCTGCCTCAGTCTTCTGAGTAGCTGGAATTACAGGCATGTGTCATGATACCCAGCTAATTTTTGTATTTTTAGTAGAAACGGGGTTTTACCACGTTGCTCAGACTAGTCTCAAACTCCTAAGCTTGTGATCAATATGCCTGAGTCTCCCAAAGTGCTGGGATTACAGGTGTCAGCCACTGCGCCCAGCCAGATGGATGTTTTTATTGCTTCGTATGGCATTCTCACTCTGGTGAAAAAAATGACACACAGGGAGAGAGCTCCTATCATGTTGCCATGGACAGACCTGGGCAGAACTGGCATGAAAGAATGTGTGTTATCTCAGTCAAACCACATGCTTGAGCCCACTTTACAGATAAGAAAACTGAGGTCTTACACTGTTGGTGAAAGAGTAAATTAGTTCAACCATTGTGGAAGACAGTGTGGCAATTCCTCAAGAATCTAGAACTAGAAATACCATTTGACCCAGCAATCTCATTACTAGGTATGTACCAAAAGGATTATAAATCACTGTACTATAAAGACACATGCATGGGTATGTTTACTGTGGCAGTGTTCATAATAGCAAAGGCTCGAAACCAACCCAAATGCCCATCAATGACAGACTGGATAAAGAAAATGTGGCACTTATACACCATGGAATACTATGCAGCCATAACAAAGGATGAGTTCATGTCCTTTGCTGGGACATGGATGAAGCTGGAAACCATCATTCTCAGAAAACTAACAGAGGAACAGAAAACCAAACACTGCATGTTCTCACCCATAGATGGGAGTTGAACAATGAGAACTCATGGACACAGGGAGAGGAACATCACACACCAGAGCCTGTTGGGGGGGGGGTGGGAGGCAGGGGAGGGATAGCATTAGGAGAAATACCTAATGTAGATGACGGGGTGAGGGATGCCGCAAGCCACCATGGCACATGTATACCTGTGTAACAAACCTGCACTTTTTAGACACGTACCCTAGAATTCAAAGTATAATAAAAATAAAAAAGAAAACCGAGGCTTAGAGAAGGGACTTAGTCATGATCCCACCAATAGCGTATCACGAGGCCGGAACTGAAACCCACGTTTTTCTGAGTGTGCAGCTCACCATTTGTATGTGCCCGCTAAAGAGTTTGAACATTCCGGAGAGGGGAACAAGATTCGCAAAGTGAGACAGGAATCGCCTTGCTGACCATGAAGCCGGCTGCCTCAGCACCCATGGAAGGTGTCTGTTGGAAGCCACGTAGCCTAAGTCAGAGTGCACCCAGGAGGGAGGCCGGGGTGTCTGGCCTGTCTTCCTCTAACTGTCCTCCGGGACGCACTTATCACATCCAGGCTGGAGAAAAGGACAGCTGCTGGAGTGTCACTGTGAGGCCAGCTGGTGTCACTGCCTCCCCATGGTGCTCAGAGGCAACCCGCGGTGAACAGCAGCGTGTGACACTCGGGCTCCCAGCTCTCCCGCAGCCCCACTTCACACCCATGCCTTCTCTAACAAGTGTCCCTTTCTTTCAGGAGGGTGCATCATCCCTGAGCATGGCACAGAGCACAGAACAGCCCTGCGCTCATGACCATCACCATCAGCCTTGTTTTCCAGTGTTTCCCTCCCCCTCCAAAAAACACCACTTCCTTTCCAAATCACACGGTGTGTACGATCAAAATGAGATGGATGAGGACAGGCAGGAATACCAGGGACATGCACTCACAGCAAATGAGATGAATTTTTAAAGCCTTTCCCAAGTGACAGCAGGCTCCCTGATTATCACCTGAGAGGACGGCAGACTCTCCCCAGCAGTGAGAGACAGGCTGGGGTAGGGTAACATCTGAAAAGAAATTTCTCAGAGCTGAGAGACACACAGTCGGAGCGGGAGACTTCGCCTTCCCTATTTCTTACTTTCTAGGGGACGGTACGGTGTCTCCTGGCGGACTTCGACGAGGAATGTTTGTGACAGTCGGGACCACCCCACCAGGATCCACGTCTATTGGCTACTTTAATGTCATCTACTGAAAAGGCACTGCTTCCCTTCACACAGAAACGATGGGAAAGCCTCTGCTAACGGGTCTCTATCTACAGTGCCTGTGGTCTAGGTGTCCGGGGAGCAGATCAAGGAGAAATTGAAATACTATCCTATCTGTGTCTGTAAGAGTTGAATGTCGACTTGATCTCTTAATAGAGTGACCCCCCGCTAGACTTGAGTTCAAGGTCCCTGGAGGATGGTATTTATTTTGTTCACTGCTAAATTCTCAGCACACGGAAGAGTGCCGGGAACAAAGCAGACACTTAATAAGTATTAACTGATAGCCGGGCATGGCAGCTGATGCCTGTAATCTCAACACTTTGGGAGGCTGAGCTGGGTGGATCGCTTGAGGTCAGGACTTGGAGGCCAGCCTGGCCAACATGGCGAAACCCCGTCTCTACTAAAAGGAAAACACAAAAATTAGCCAGGTGTGGTGGCGCACATCTGTAATTCTAGGTACTGGAGAAGCTGAGGCATAAGAATTCCTTGATCCCAGGAGGCAAAAGGTGCAGTGAGCCAAGATAGTGCCACTACACTCCAGCCTGGGTGACAGAATAAGACTCCATCTCAAACTAAATAAGTAAGTAAATATTGAATAAACATCCATGGAAGGAAAGGCAGGAAGATGTGAAAACACAGCTGTCCATCTAGGGAAGAGTCAGCAATCTTGCCTGGTATGCTATGGTGCACGCTTAATAATGGAAAGGATGCTAATGAGTTTATCTATATTTGTATATACACACACGCTTAATATAGCGCCTCTTAGACAAGAGCCCAATACAGGTTAGACATTCTTCTTTTCACGTGCATAGTGTTGATCCTACAAGTAGATTTAAAACTTTCTTCAACCTTTAGTGGTTTAAAAGCAGCACATACTCATTGGAGAAAATGTGCAAACATCATAACTAGATCTCAGACAACTGGGGAGTGCCATGGGTTTATTCTTTATGTCTTATAGAATTTGATAGAGATGAGTCACTTTAAAACATACATTATGAAATCAAATATAGGCAAAAAATATTTAAATCAATGATATTACACCCCCACTATGGGATATCAAGTAACGTTTTAGAAAGAATGAGATTAGGTTCTACTAAATAAAGAGCCCCAGAACGCTTGCTAAGTGTGTATTTGCAGAAAAAATGCACTTTATATTATTGCATGTATATCAGAATGAAACTATACTTACACAAGCAATGTAAAGGTTTAAAAATGGGAAAGGCCATCACCATATTGTTAACAGAGGCAGGGAGAAATGTATATAAAATGATGATGATAATTCTAATTGTAAGAAAAGTAATCAACAATCACCAACAGTTACAAAAACTAAGAAAAGAAAAATCTCGGAAGCTAAGCAGGGTCGGGCCTGGTTAGTATTTGGATGGGAGACCGCCCGGAAATACCGGGTGCTGTAGGAAAGAAAGAAAAGAAAAATCATCCTCAATCAGACCTCTCAAGATAATGACTCCTGTTTTTACATATCCGTTTTTATAAATAAATTCATTCAAATAACATTTGCTGAATGGCTGCAGCGGGCCCAGAACTCTGCCGGTGCATTCCTCTTTCTTCTGTGTAATAAATATTTCCTGACCGATCCCTTCGCTCTACACAATCTCAGGAGGCCCGCCTTCCGCAGCCTCAAGAGAACCCCAAGAGTCTCTGTAATGAGCCGATTATGGGTAAAGATTCCTAGAAAACAGGCAAGCAATAGGTCCTTAATGTTCTCCATCAAATCCCCTCTCCGTCTTCCACCACCCCAGCACACATACCCCTTGCCTCTTATTTCATCTAAGTAGAACGTCTCAAGTCAGGAAATAAAATGCATTTGAAGCATACACAACATAAAAATTACTCCAAGCACTGGGTCTCTGCTATAGATCATGCTCGCGTGATATTGATTCCTGATAGGAAGGGGCTCCCAAGGTTAGCATGTGCTCCTCTCTCTGGAGAGATGCCTGCCTTCCATCACCTCCTGCAGCTTCCTTGCTCTTCTCACTAGATCCCAGGCCTGCTGTGATGCTGAGGTCCTCAGCCCTGGGAGCAGCAGCTCCCATTATCAAGGGGAAGAGCCCCTGCCAATTTTTGAAGAAGCCTTTCAGCAGACCTCTTTTGTTTGTAGTTATCAAAACAAATTATGCGCTACATGCTTGAAATGATGCTGACTCCAAGATGTTCTCCCTGGGGACCCGTAAACTTGCAAATGTGAATCCCAGTCCTTTGTAGTTGAAAGACCAATCTATAGTGCCTGCTGCTCTCAATAGGACCTTCTCCTTAACAATTCCAGAGGAATCTATATTTAGGACACAATGATGCTATTTTGAAAACAGGGAGCTTGGAGCCCCTGATTAATGAGCTACACAACACTTACTCAATCAAAGGGCCTGCAAGATTTCAAATTTCTCTTCATTCTCCCCATCCCACCCTTCACTGAGGCACCCATCAAAAATGGTATTTCAAAGTTAATTGACCCTTTAAAAGAAAAATAGTTATAATGATCGAGGAAAAAATATTAGCTATTTCCACACTTAAACAAATGCCACATGGCACATAAATTCCGCCATCTGCTATAACTTTCCCTGAGTAGGAAGTTGGCAGATATTGCATAATCATCTACATATGACTGATAATTTTTAGCCAAGTCTAAATAAAAAGGTGCTTTGTCTTCACGGGCTGTTTAAAAAAGTGAGAGATACAGATAAACAATAAAACATGCTCTTGATGTTTATTTTTCCAATTAAGCATACATATATAAATTATATTTTATATGTGTGTGTGTGTGTGTGTGTCTATAATATGTATAGACAAAGTGCATCTTTTCTATCTTCTGAGTCTCATTAGAGTATATTCACTCAGTATTAAGCTGAGTCAGTAATACTATACTTTTCTATCTTTCATATAGAAAAAACTCGATTTTACTTTACCTGCTCCAGGAGGGGCCTGGAGCACAATCCTTTGCTTACACAGGGTACACTGAGAGATAAAACAATGAAAACACTGATTTTCAAAAACAGTATTTTACAGTGAAGGGGGAGCCATCCACAGTAATTTGTACAAACTGCAAATATAAATCCACGGTCAATGAAATCGTGTCCTTGCAGAACACTTGAAGTTTCCTAATAGGCAAGGACATCAGTGTAGTCAGATTTCATTTAAGCACATGGTTGTGGAGTCCATTATTTAAACAGCACCCTCAGTCGTGAAAGAATACTTCAAGTGCATGACAACAAAATGCTATCAATACTGAAGGTTGTCCTCTAAATCAGAAGAGAATCCAAGGGTTTCCTAACGACTTCTTCTCAAACAAATTACCGGCAGGCTGCACCGAAATGAATTTTATTATTGAGGACAAGTGAATTGTACAGTACTTATAGCAAACACATTAGGGGATTAAAACTGATTGAAGTAGATTGGATTTGAAAAGATATAAATAGGGAAGACATGAAAAATCTGCTTAAAGAGAACTTATCGAAACAGCCGTGGGATTCAGCGACTGACCAACAACTCAGGAAGGTTGGCTTGTGTTTTTCCTAGAAAACAAAGGGAGAATACTAACTTCTGGATGGTGGGTAAGCTGTTTTTGTGAAGGTACTCACAGGATGCGTTCCCACAGAAAAGCAACCATGAACAGAAAGGTTGACACAGCCCACGAAACCTCTGCAGCAACGGCAAGAAAATAGGTTTCTCCACGCGGCAAGTAGTTGACCCAATTGCAGCTTGCAGCTGGCCAGGAAAATTGGACTGACGTCGCCTCAGAGGTCTGTCCAGGACACGTCCACCTATTCAAGGATAAGCTATGGAAAGCACCAATGACTTCGGCATTGATTAGCTACGGGATAATCTGAACAATGAAAGTCAACACTTTCTGAGAGCTCTATGTCCAGGAAACATTCTTCTATGAGGATCAACATCAAGTAACTTACTGAATCCTCACAACTCCATGAGATAAGTACTATTACAATCCCATTCTACAGAGGAGGACACTGGAAGGAGGAAAGCTTCAAAACATCCTCACTTTACATGGATATCAAGAGACAGAGACAGTATTCAAAGTTGGACTGCTGGTGCCAGAGTCTGCATTCTTAATTATTAGATTATCTAAGAGTTATCTGTAATCCCAGTACTGTGGGAGGCTGAGGCAGGCAGATCTTTTAAGGTTGGGAGTTTGAGACCAGCCTGGCCAACATGGTGAAACCCTGTCTCTACTAAAAATACAAAACTTAGCTGGGCATAATGGCAGGCACCTGCAATCCCAGCTACTTTGGAGGCTGAGGCTGGAGAATCGCTTGAACCTGGGAGGTGGGGGTTGCAGTGAGCCGAGATCGCACCACTGCACTCCAGCCTGGGTGACAGAGTGAAACTCCATCTCCAAAAATACATAAAAAGAGTTATAAGCACACTGGTAATCAAACTTTCCACCCAGTGGGCCCCTGAAATGGAAGAATACATCAGGAAATAATTACTGGAATACAGAGTTTCATGATCCATCCACGGCTCTGAGAATCGGAAACAGGTACATGAGAATCAGCCCCCAAGATGGCCCTGAGATAATCGCCACCTTCTAGTGTTTGTGCCTTTGAGCCCTCTCCTCCCATGCTGTACCAGAGTTCCAATGGAACACAGCAGAAGTGACGGTATGTCAAGCTGAGGTTAGGTCATAAAGGACTGTGGCTTCCATCTTACCATCTGTCTCCTCTTTCTCCCTTTGCTTTCTCTCTCTCTGTCTCACACCTCACTTTGGTGGAGAGCCATCTGCCATGTCTCCAGGACACTCCAGCAGCTGCTTATGAGGCCCATGTGGGAAGGACTGAGGCCTGCCAACATCCACATGAGTGAGTCTAGAAGCGTTACTTCCAAGCTTCACTGACTGCTGCCCCATCTGATGGGCTGAGCCACTACCTCACCAGGAAACCAGAGCTAGAGCCACCCAGCCAAGCCACTCCCAAATTCCTGAACCTTAGGAACTCTATGAGATGAAAAAAAAAAAAGTTTGTTGTTTTGAAATGCAAACGTTGGGAGTAATTTCTTGCACAGTATTAAAAAAATACATGTTGTTACCGGTAAAGCTGCGTTACTGAAGATCTTAAAGAGTGGATCACTTCAGGCTAGAAGTCTGAGACCCGCCTGGCCAACAGAGTGAGAGGCGGGTAGATCACGAGGTCAAGAGATCGAGACCATCCTGGTCAGCATGGTGAAACCCCGTCTCTACTAAAGATACAAAAAATTAGCTGGGCATGGTGGTGCGTGCCTGTAATCCCAGCTACTCAGGAGGCTGAGGCGGGAGAATTGTCTGAACCCAGGAGGTGGAGGTTGCAGTGAGCCGAGATCGCGCCATTGCACTCCAGCCTGGGTAACAAGAGCGAAACTCTGTCTCAAAACAAAACAAAAAAATTTAGTGTCGGGCTACAGGCACATGCCGCACTTAGCCTGGTGTGGTGGCATGTGCCTGTAGTCCCACCTATTCAGGAGGCTAAGGAGGGAGGATTGCTTGATCCTGGGAGTTCAAGGCTGTAGCAAACTGTGCTCTCTCCACATTCCAGCCAGGGTGACAGACAGACCCTGTTTCCAAAATAAATTTCTTTAAAAAAAGTAGTGGGGTTTGTCCATGAAGCCCTAAACGTTTAATTTGTTGCTTTGCATGAAGCAACTCAATTATGTGGCCCTGAGGGAGAAAAAAAGCACAGTACATAAATGGGCATCCATCCACTGAAACTTCAGAACATCTACTGGGTGCCAGGCACTGCTATAGTGCTGGGATGTGCCACTGAAACCAAAGAGACAAGGTCCTCTCCTTTGTACTCAAGTGGACAGAGAGCGAAAACAGGTGGACACATAAGAAACACAATGAAATAATACTAAGTGCTATGAACGTGACAGAGCAGAGAACCAGGGTGACTGTCTCCATGGCTGGAAGTCGAGAAAGGCCTCTCTCATGAGAGATGTCTGAGAAGAGCCCTGAATCATGAGAACTGCCAGCCAAGAAGAGATCTAGGGAGAGAAAGGCCAAACAAACCCAGGCTACTTAGCCTTAAAGGATAATCTTTAGCACACAGAGTAACATTCATGCCTCAGTTTCCCCATCTCTGCATTCAGGACAATGATAGTTTGCCTCAGAGGATAAAGGGGATGAAACAAGATACTGTATCTGAAAGCTGGAGATTAGGAAGCTGCTTCTCACCATTCCCCATTTAAAACAGTGTGACTACTAGGTACCACTTTGAAATTGCCAAGACTGGGTCAACATGATGCAGGGAGATCTGGACAGCCTGCTGATTTAATACAGCATCAGTCTCACGGGAAACTAACTCCGTTATGGAACAGTCTGACCATTAATTTCAATGATTTGACTGTGTAATATAATGTTTCAATCCTAGAACACAATTTAAACTGGGACAGGTAGTCATTAGTTAACTCAGAGTCTGCAAATTCATCTCCAACATGTCAATTTTTTGTGGTCTATGTTCAAAGACTTGACAAAAAAAGATATGGGGAAAATATTTCAAAGTCCATGAAATCTAGCATCTCAATATCAAATAGTGCCTCGACTGCTACTGTAGATAAAATGCTGATAGAAATTTTTATTAAAACAGTAAGCAAAGGGTAAGCATGCTTGTCAAACACAGATCCTGTTTCTCATATAGATGAGAGTGCCACAAACAGTAAGGATGAGGAGTGGGATGGAATACTGATTTTGCCTGCAGAGGACGCAGAGTTGAGCAGTGTGTATAAAGGGGTCAAAATGAATACCTATCAGTAATGGCTTCTAAAGATAACAAGAAATGAAATAAAGAAGTATTTTGGCAAACAGAAGTCTCCACAAATACTCAAGGAATTAGTAAGTAGCCCATGGTTTGAAACTGGACATTCACTGTGCATCAATGACAAAGTCTTTGTTGATTAAGAGAGCCAACATTTCAAACTAGGCTAAGAAGAGAAGAAAAGAAAAATCAAATGGAGGTCCCTATCTTTAGCCAGAAAATTCCTAAAAGTGACATAGAGGAGAATGAAGACACTATGACCACACATCTTAGAGGTATTGCTCCTGCAGGATCACACTTGGAATCGCAGTGCAGTTAGGCATAGCCGTTCCCCACGATGTTGTTGAGACTGACCTGCGGCTCTTTTTCTCATGGTGGTGGATCTTGGTTGCTTTTCTCCAAAAAATTCTGTTTCTCCTTCAGAGCAAAGGAAGTGATTGTGTGTCCTTGCCTACATGGACTTAGGCACCGCTGAATGTCTTGTCTTAGCTAATGAAATGTGAACGACAGTGGCACACGTCACTTTGGGATAACACCTTGGAGGACCAGTGTGCAATTAACTCTGTTTGTTCTGTCCTGGTAATTGCAGAAAAGGTGTAACCTGTGACTCTGTGTATAGAAGAAATAGAGCATCACTTCCAGCCAGTCCAGGATGGACAGAAAGAAATATCTGAGAAAAAAAAAAAAAAAAACAAAAACAAAGCACCATGGTTCTGTTAAGCCATGGACATTGGGAGTTACATGTTACTACAGCATAGATTGTCTTAACCTGACTGATACCCTCGCAAGTGGCTAATGCTTCCAGCCCTCTTTTCATCAGGGGAGCTTATAGCAAAAATTAAAAGAAAAAGTCATTTTACATTTGGTGGTCTCTGACTATCTATACTATGTCTTTTCTATAATGAGTAGTGTTTTGTTATCACTGTAGTTTACCTTCACTTTTGCAAATGCTTTAATTTTTTTTTTTTTTTTTTTGAGACAGAGTCTGCACCCAGGCTGGAGTACACTGGCACAATTTCTGCTCACTGCAATCTCTGCCTCCCAGGTCCAAGGAGATTCTCCTCCCTCAGCCCCCCAAGTAGCTAAGATTATACATGTATACCAGCATGCTCAACTAATTTATGTACTTTTAGTACACATGTGGTTTCACCATGTTGGCCAAGCTGGTCTCGAACTCGACCTCAAGTGATCCTCCCACTTCAGCCTCTCAAAGTGCTGGGATTATAGACATGAGGCACCACACCTAGCTGCAAATGCTTTAATTTAAAAAAAAATTTTAAATAAAGATTAAAGAGATTCAAGGTGTACAATATGATGATTTATGTATGCATTGTGTAATGATTATCCCAATCAAATTAGTTAACACATCCATCACCACTGTGGGGAACAAGAGACTGAGAACGTGTTCATCTCTTCACTGAAATTTTCTACCTTTTGACCAGCATCTCTCCAATTCTCCCACTCCTAACCCCTGCCAACCACCTTTCTACTCTCTGCTTCCAGGAGTTCAGTTTTTCAGATTCCATATATAAGTGAGATCAAGCAAAATTTGTCTTTCCGTGTCTGCCTTATTTCACTTAGCACGATGTCCTCCAGGTTTATCGATGTTTTTACACAGTATTTCTTTTTATAGATGAATCATATTCCCTTGTATGCACTGCAGCCCAGCCAATTACTGCCAAATATTTTTATTAAAAACTACAGAGCATTTTCCATCTGTACATGATGCTCTAGAGTTTCCGCATCATTCCATCCATTCATTTGTTCACAATAAGGGTAAGCAAGGCAATCATGGTTTTTGATTCATCAAGCTTACAGACTTCAAGTTTACAGACAAGTTTTTTATTCATCAAGCTTTGAATCAGCAAGCTTACAGACTTCGGTGGAAAACAGAAAATTAAGGAGGCTAGAACAATCCACAATGGATGCTACACGAACATCCAGAAGTGATTCTGAGGTTAAGGTTGGTGGAGGTGAAGGGTGGCTACAAATGGCCTGCTGGGAACAAGCAGAAACAACACGAGTGCTGCAGTTCAGACATTTGTCCCCTCCAAATCTCACGTTGAAGACCGATCCCCACGGTGACAGGCAGACCTAATGGGAGGTCTTTGGGTCATGGGGGTGCCTCTCTCATGAATAGATTCATGCTTTCCATGCAAGTGGGGTGAGTAGTCTCACTCTATTAGTTCCCAAGAGAGCTGGTTGTTGAAAAGAGCCTGGTGCCTCCCCTCTCTCTTATTTCTTCTTCTCTTGCCATGTGATCTCTGCACACACCAGCTCCCCTTCACCTTCCACCATGAGTGGAAGCAGCCTAAAGCACTCACCAGCAGCAGATGCCGGTACCATGCTTCTTGTACCATCTGCAAAACTGTGAGATAAATAAACCTTTTTTCTTTATAAGGTACCTGGCCTTAAGTATTCCTTTAGGGAACACCAAATAGAGTAAGTGAACAGGCAAAGCAAAGATGAGGAGAGAGTGTTCCAGGCAGCGGTTTCAATGACCTGGAGGTGAGAGAGAGCAAGGTACTCAGGGTCACTGAATGTAGCCATGTGTGGCTGTATTGTGGGTGGAGTGGAGAACAAAGAGCCTGTAAAGAAGGCAGGGGCTGCCTCCTGAAAGGCTTTGAAATCATGTTATGCATGTGGGATTGTATCCAAAGGCTAACACAGAGCTTTTGTAGGTGGGGTACCATGGTTAGGTTTCTTTCTTAAAGAGCATTTTAGGTGCACTAAAGGAGCGTCTCGGAGGGGATTTTAAATAAAGGAGACAGAGAAGCCAGTTACCAGGATATTGCAGCAAAAGGTGGTGGTGGCCTATGTAAGATGCTGGACATAAAGACAGAAGATCATGGAAGAAGACTGAAGGACTGGAATACGTATTCCAAAGACCATTTTGGAGAAGTGCTATTTAAACTGCTCCTGCCTGCAGTGGGCTTACCTTTTTGGTGATAATAATTGTAGATTCTCCACTCTGAGTTAAAATCCAGGTAATCATTTCATGAGAGTTCTTTTATATAAACGTAGGATTCCAGCCATGCTGAAACACAGGGCTAGGTTCTGTATTAGAACGATGATTCCATTTAGGGTTGTGTTTATTTCAACAAGACTGACTTCTTTGCATACTGCATCTGATCTAAACTCCCTTGGTACAGAGCATTATCTACGGAAACCACTGTCATGTGACTTCTGTATAGTACGCAGAGTTTTAGACTGGTTCACAGAAATGTACATGACACCTATTAGTCCGTTTTTACACTGCTATAAAGAACTTCCCTGAGCCTGGGTAATTTTTAAAGAAAAGAGATTTAATTGACTCACAGTTCACATGGCTAAGGAGGCCTCAGGAAACTCACGATCATGGTGGAATGGGAAGCAGGCAACATCTTCACAAGGCGGCAGGAGAGAAGTGAGCATGTGTAGGAGGGACCGTTACAACACTTATCAAACCATCAAATGTCATGAGAACTCACCAGCACAAGAACAGCCACCACCCACCAGTTCCCTCCCTCAACACGTGGGGGATTATGGGGATTACAATTCAAGATGAGATTTGTGTGGGGACACAGAGCCACACCATATCAAATAAATCTAAGTCCTACCTACCATTTGTTTTTTGATGATATATGTGTGTACACACACACACACATTTTTTTTTTTTTTTGAGAAAGGATCTTACTCTATCGCCCAGGCTGGATTACAGTGGCGCAGTCTCAGCCTACTGCAACCTCCACCTCCCAGACCCTACTGATCCTCCCACCTCAGCTACTCAGCCCCCTGAGTAGCTGGGAGAACAGGGGTGTGCCGCCACGCTTGGCTAATTTTTTGTATTTTTGTAGAGATGGGGTTTTGCCAAGTTGCCCATAATGGTCGTGAACTCCTGAGCTCAAAGGATTTGCCCACCTTGGCCTCGCAAACTGCTAAAATCACAGGTGTGAGCCACCATACCCAGCCATCTTTTTATCTGTTTACCCAACTCCTGGCCATAGCATTTTCCTTGGGAGACAAGGTAGAATAGATGTTAGGAACTCTGAGCTCTAGGGTTGCAGTGCATTTTTTGACTCACAGCTCCAACACATACATCTAATCTACGAGGGACCCTAGTTTCTCATCTGATAAATAAGGGTATTATTAAGATTGACTTAAATGGATTGCTATGAAATAATGATGTGAAATGCTTAGAATAGTGCCTGGCCCATAGTAAGCTCTCAGTAAATGTTCATAAAGAAGGTCAATAGACAGTGCTTCTAAATCTCATGCATGTTGCACAGGATGCTAAAATTCTCTTGGAAGTCATGCAGTGCCACAGACTAGAATTAATTCAGAGGGACAGAGTCACAAAAGAAGACAACAGAACCACCACTGAAGTATTCATTTTGCACCAGGTATTGTCTGGGGAAACAGCACTTTGAAGGAATAGGTACACTCCATAGCCCTCTGCCTCTGCAGCATCTGAGTCTAACTGTGCACATGACATGGAACACACGATAAAACATACTGGTAAGCTTCATGGAAGGTACATCACACAGAAGGACACACCCAGGCAAGGGTCATGGGACTCACCCTATGGCTCTCTGCCCAAGGAAACAGTAACAACTGTGCAAATAATAAAAAAAAAAAAATCAAGGCCTGCAGTCATTTATGCAGACTCAAAATATAGCAGCTTTCTCAATTAGACAGAAAAAAAGCAACTTGTGCAGAATATGAACCTCTGAGGAGTTTTAAAGGGCATTTCATAAATCACTGTTTCACATGGTTCCAAGTGAGAGATGCAGATTCATGGCGGCCTTCTCATTTGTCAACTAGAAGTATTTATTAGAACATGCAAGGGGTTTAGAAACTTGCATGACCACTTACAACCTATTAGTGAAAGACACAATTACATGCCTCATCTCTTCATTTACTTCCAAACCAAATACTTGGAGACCCGGACTGCATCACCCTTGCTAATCCTAGTACATATACCTCCTGTATCCCGGTATAGCTGAATTTCTTCAGTGATTATAGACAACAGTTGATGACACCTATTAAATATTCAATCTGGGCTCTGAAGAGTGATACACAGTTAATGGGTACTAGTTCACTTACAAGCATGTTACGAAGCAAATACTACTTTTGCCTCGTCTGCACAATTAGTGTTCACTAATTGTATAGATAAGGCAATCTTGAATTGTACAGATGAGGTAATCAGGTCTTAAAGGAGTTTAATCACTGAGAGAAGTTCAGAGAGCTGGCGTCCAAGTCATCTGATGCCAGAGCCTCAAACTCTTGACTACGATGTTACTTAACCATGAGCTATCTTGAACTAGGGAGTCTAATTCTCTACCAGTACAACCAGCGTCAGTAGAAAAGCAGCTGAACATCGGTTATGATGGAAATTGGTAATATCCCACTGAAAACTTGATGCCTGAAAGCAAATTTGTTTCTGGGTAATGTATCTCGATGGCTGGTGTGAATATGGTTAGCTTCTGCTTGACTTACCCAGGCCAGAGTGATAGGTACTCACTAGCCAAAGCGCTGCTGGTATCGTCACAAAATCATTCACCAAAATCCACCTTGTGGATGCCTCCAAGGCCATGAGATAAACCACTAAAAAACTAACCCCTAGACATGTTTAGCAATATGTCTGTTAATCACTTATAAGGCCGTATTGTTACCAATAATTAAGTTACAATATTTAAAAATTCACCCTGTGTCATTAGCAATCTTCCAGAAACTCGCAAAAAAAGAAAAAAAAGAGAAAATAATTTTTTTAAAAAAGAAAAGAATAGCAGGAACAGAATCTGCAAATAAATTGAATTTTCCTCCTAAAATTGGTTTGTTCTACATGACAACCCCTCACCCTTCTAAAAACTGCACATCTTCCTGTACGCTGTATTCATATTCAAAACAACATTAAACCCACGTCCATAAGTCAGCCTGATAGACTAACAACAGGGAAGGTTTCTTCGGAACTGTTACAGCCTATTGGGTAAATACATATTTGGTACACATTCTAATTTTGAAAAACACGTTATTTACTTACTAGACTGTAACAGTTCTACTGAATGGTTACAGAGTACCAGGTAAATATGTATTGTGGAATGCATGCATACTAATTCTGAAACCATGGATCATTTGCCCAGCAGACTGTAACATTCTGGTCTGTTCTGGACAGCCCCTGCCCCCAGGAATCATTTCCCTAGCGGACAACAGGGAACCTTTCCAGTCATTTGCTTGGGCGTGAAGCATATTCATTTTAAGGAAGGAAGCCTTCCAGACTAGTGTCCAATTTCTTTTTGTTAGAAATATCAAAGTTCACAGACTGCAAATTAAAACAGCACTAATGAAAACCAGCTGCATATAGCAACAATTAGGTAGGTAATTCCACTTAAGGCTCTGGTCGGAGGTTGCGTTTGAAGTCATCTTTAAATGGATGGATACAAGTTGAAATTTGCACACTGACTATCTACAGCACATGCCTCTGAGGGATGAACGCCAACTAGCATCATCCTGATGGGGGCTGCATTCATTTTATCCCTTCACATTAAATATTTATTGGACAGTGACATGCCAAGCACTGGGCTTGATCCTGGAGATTCAGTGAAGAGCAAGACAGATAGGACCCCAGCCCTCCTAGAGACTACAGTCTATGGGAGAGACAGTCATCAACCATATAATCACACAAGTAAGTACATGGCTATAAGCTGCATTAAGTGCCCTTAAAATCAATTTGCAACGCAGAAGTTCAAATTATCCATTTGAAATATAAGTCAAGACCCTATTTTGCTCGAGTAAAAGCCAAAGGCCCTGAATGTCTATAAGCCCTATGTGACTTGTACCTCCTCCTCACCTTGCTTCCTCCCTCAACTCATTCTTTGCTATTTTCCACCCCACTCCCTCCAGCTCTTCTGTTCTTCCTGAACAAAGGGCTACTCTCGAGACTTAGCTGGAATGTTCTTCTTCCAAAGTCCATGCAGCTGGTTTTGTGCTGAAATGTTGCCTTCAGAGTGACGCCTATCCTGGCCCCCTCCTCCTCATTTAAACTTGCAACCGATTCTTCCACCCCTGCTCTCCTGCCCTCCTCATCCTTCTCTTTTTTGGCTTTCTATTTTCCATAGCACTGCTTACATTCCAACACAACGTGCTCAGGCATCGCGCACACTGTTTACTGTTTTTCTCCCCAACCAGAATTGTTTCTCCCCAACGAGAATAGTTTTTCTCCCCTTCAACAGGGCTTGTCTTTATTTTTTGTGGATAAATGATAAACAAATTTATGACCAGGAATGACGGAGAATAGCAGAGCGACTACCCCACCACACAATGTGACACAGATGATTCTGTATCCTCCTTCTTAGCGGAAAGGGAGATGGGAAAGTGTGGATGACTTTCCCATGTGTAGTAAGTGAATTTTAAGGGAACTCAATGGGCTTGAAGAATATACAATGACCTGTGACAAACGTCTGTTCAGGTGTGTCGGAAGATATCAGTCTTCCTTCCTGCAATATGAGTTCAATACATGAGAATTCAGAAAAGGGACCAGAGGTTCCTGTCTTCTTTTTTGGTGTGTCCAGACTTGAGGCAGGTAAGGGAGCTTCAGGGAACAACTTCAGCTTGTCTTCCTTACACCAACAAATCCCAAATGCAGGAAGAGCACCTGGCACATGGTAGCTGTTCAATATATGGATACAGAAAGATATGTAGACACACAGAGATTAGCAAAGGAATATATACACACAGAGAGATATATGCATACGTGCATATTTGTGTATGTGGGTATATATACACATATATGTGTGTATACATGTGTGTATGTATCTGTACATATATATGTCCTATTTTCCAGTGTCCTTCCAATATGACAGGTGACTCAAGTCATACAGTTCAAAAAGCTTCCCATTTCCTGAACAGGAAATCCATGTTTTCTCAAAACAAGGATAGTTCTGGCTGGGCACAGTGGTGCATGCCTGTAATCCCAGCACTTTGGGAGGCCAAGGCAGGCAGATCATGAGATCAAGAGATTGAGACTATCCTGACCGACATAGTGAAACGTCATCTCTATCAAAAATACATAAAGTAGGTGGGCGTGGTGGTGCACACCTGTAGTCCCAGCTACTTGGGAGGCTGAGGCAGGAGAATGACTTCAACCTGGGAAGCAGAGTTTGCAGTGTGCTGAGATTGTGCCACTGCATTCCAGCCTGGCAACAGAGTGAGATTCCATCTCAAAAAAAAAAAAAAAGCATAGTTCAGAATAAACTCTTCTCTCTCTATAGGAGCAGATGGCAATGAGATGATCTCAGCAGGGGGTGCCAGCAGCTGTGTGAATACACCTATATATATATATGCATACATGTGTGTGTATACACACATTTACATATACACACATACACATACATGTTCTTCATACATGTGAGAGCAACAGACTGAGAATAAATAAGCCCCTATTTAGGTGTTTTATTTAATTAGCCACTTTTGCTTATAAGGCACAATTTATCTAGACATTAACATGACATGTGACTGTGTGTGTGTATATGCAAACAGTCATATATATGTAAACATACATATAGTTACACACACAAATACATGTATATATAAACTGGAGGAAAAGGACGAGGAACTATGAGATCAAACACAAACATCTTCTCATCTATCCTAGAGTGTCGGAGTTGCGTTAGAAGTGGGAATTCCAGGAAAGGCTTTCCTGGGGAAAGCCGCATTTTTGAGTTGAGATTGAAAGGAAAAGTAAAAGCGAACTCAGAAAAGGTTGTGGTGAGGCAGGAGGGGCACATTCCAGACAGAGGGAGGAGAATGCTCACAACACCCCACTCAGGAGGAGCTGGGTGTGACTGGGGAAATAAAAGACAGTCAGCATGGCTATAAGGCCAAGAGCCAGTGGGCTTGAGGATGGAAGACACAGGGGTGAGTCATGTTAATCATCTTAACTGAAACATGTTCTTCACCTGTGTAAGACAGCAACAGGCTGAGGAAATGAATAAGCCCCGTTTGCATGCTTTGTTTTGTTTAACCATGTTTTGTTTAAGATGGTTATCTTTGGTTATAAGGCACGATTTATCTAGACATTGACATGACAGCTGCCACATCCCCCAGGACATAAGCTGAAAGCCCCATGTGTCAATTTGTAGGGAAAACTTTTGAAAGTCATGACCAAGTTCTACATAAGGTGGCTGATTTTCCAATGTCCTTCCAACATGGCAGATGACTCAAGTCATACAGTTCAAAAGCTTCGCGCTTCTGGTCAGGAAATCCATGTTTTCTCAAAAAAGTATAAATGCACAGTTCAGGGTATTCTCTTCTCCTCTTTCTAAAAGAGAAGATGGCCCTGAGCTGATCTCAGCAGGGGTGCCAGCAGCAGCAGCCACAGCAGTAACATGCTCTGCAAGGCCTCTTTCTTATTCTCGATTTGCAAAATGCTTTCTTTGATTGCCTCTGACAATGGGAGGTGGGGACAAGCCACATAAAGTCATTTCACCCATCACTAACCTAACACACCTGCACGTTACCCTCCAGCTCTATCACACTCCTCCCAGGCTTCCGGGCAACAGACATTTTTTTGAAAGACTTGTAAAGCACTGATTTGGAGTACATAATAAGTTAATATTAATTTAAGTGACTAATATTTAGAGCCTTAAAAAAAAGCTTAATTTATGAGAAATATATCTCAATTTTCCTAGAAAATGTCTCACAGTGACAGCTACGTATCCCATGAGCAAAAATAAGGTGATCACAAGAAAGAATTTAATTAAGATGAGTTGGGCATGCCATAAGCAGCACATAGCTGAAGAAGCATTGGTGAAGTACCTAACACCCCGAAGTGGAGAAGGCACAATATTAAAACGACCAATAAATTAGCCGACAAATCTACTTAGCTCTACATTTGTCCTGCACTGCCAAATAAAACACTGCCTTGAAATGGAACCATCCGAGATTTTTCACAGCAAATCAATTTACACCGAAGAAGGAAAATGCTTATGCAACTTCTGAGCTGCAGTCTGCAACGAGATACACTTGGTCGAAAGGAGCATTTTGCCCTTCTCCATTTCATCAGAGATAGAAAGGGAATTAATCAGCGACACTTAGCCACCCCTTCAACAGGAGTTCGGCAACACCCCCAGAAATACTTCATTTCTTTCAACATTTCTGCACAACAGACAGCAGCCAACTTTTACTAATCCCATGTATTACTGCAGACCGTGAAAAATGATGCTAAATCACAAGACGGATGACAATGTAATAAATGAGAGAAACTGTGGCTGGTATTCTGGAATCTTACCATCCCAGTCTGGTTCACATCTCCATTTCTTGATGTAATACGATTTGAGTATAATTAATAGCAATTATTTTCAAAGCATTCATAAGTTTTTCCCCCACTGTGAAAGCAAGATTCAGCTTTATATCCCTCTTTGTAATCTGAATTCACGGGTGTCATGCATCACCCACAAAAGAAGGGCATGGTGATTCCAAAATGTCTGTTTTGACAGATGGTTCTTTTCTACTTTTTAATATTATAAATATTTAATACGTGGCTCAGCAATGGATGATAAAACCTCAGCTCTGTGATCATCCAGTTAAGTGAAATCCCCTCTACTCCTCCTCAAAAGACAGTCACCAGTCTTGCCGTGATAGCAAACAAGGGTCAAAATGTAACACCTGCATTCCTGTGAGATCCTTCAGGTATAAGTCATAAGAAAACTACCATTAATTTATTTTCCTCCACTTTTTCTTTTAAATGCAAAATTCCAGGGAAATTCACCACAATACATTTAATTGTCTATATCATATGATTATAACAAAACAATTTGGCCACGGCACTGTGGCATCATCTCAGTACATGTCACCTTATCTCATGCTATATATTAATCTAAAATGCAATCTGGAAAATGACAAGAATGTCTCATAATGGAACACCCAGTGAATGGCTGATTCGCCTTTCATTGTCTGTTGGCCTCAATGCGCCGTGGACTTCCCAAGAACAAATGAGACCTCAGAGGCGACATGTTTTCATTTTATCACATTTATTTAAGATGACCGAGGACAGGGCCCGATATTTATTCACCACATTCATTTGCCTTCATCAGAATAAAAGGAGAGCCAGTACAGTTTGAACAACATCTGGTAATTCCAAAGAGATAGTGTCACTTGAAGAACAAATGAACCTTTAGTTAATAAAATCTCCCTCTGACTGACAAAGATGGCTTTTTGTACACATGCAGGATCCCTGATAAGTAGATGGAGAGACGTTGATAAAGAACACCCAATTCCTACAGAGGGAAGTCAATGCCGCCCACGTTTAAATAAAGACAGGGTTTATTACTGGTCTTTTATGAATCATGATAAATTAAATGTCCTGAGTTCTGGAGGGATAAAAGATTTAAATTATAATTCTGAAGGCCAGGGGAGTTTCACTAGTCTCAAAATACTCTGGTGCCTCAAAGACAGACTAATATTAAGAAGGACAAAAAAATGTAGTTGGTTCCAATAAAGAACCTGTTTCATCCGGTAATGCCTTTTTTTTTTTTTTTTTTGAAACTATGGCTTTTTATTTTCATGTGGATAATTCAAACAAAGTCACTAGTAGCCTTTGTTTAATTTTTTTTTTTTAAAAAAGAAACCCTCAAAAAAATCTTGAGCTTAAACGAAATCTAAGTCTGCTACAGGAGCCTGGCTGGAGGATTCCTATTTTTATAGATGAGAAATACAATGCAGATTTCGCTTCAGAGTGTTAAAAGAAGGAATGTTAGTTTAGGGGGCTAATTTCCCAGGCTCCAAGTGATTTAGGGGTGGTGTCACAATGCTAGGTATAGGGTGATAGGACAGTGATCACTGCCGAGAGCCTTGGAATGGATCTTGCTGTCACACAATACAGGTAACAGAGTGGGACAACAGAAAATAATCAAGGCGCCAATCAACATTCTTGGATCGTTCATCCTGTAAGTCCAAAAGGTGTTGGGGTAGAGGTGCCTCAAGCTGTCAGCCAGTGGCACAGCCTGCAGGAATTCCCCAAAGCCTTGGTACTCTTGTGGTGTGAAGTCACTCCTCCTATATTCCAAATGCCTGTGACCCCAATCCCTTATGCAGCCAATATTTAACGAGAATTGACCAATAACCCGACACTGTGCTAGCCATGTGCATTTAATAGTGAGAAAATGTCTAGAATGGGCAAGTCTGCCTAAATGTCAGTGCAACTACATGCAAGTGTCTACCTAAATAAACACAAACACACAATGGATGGAATGGTGTCTTTCAATACACGACGAACTAGACTTCTGACTACTGTACAGTCCAAAGCCACATTTCATCAAGCTTTCTCATGACCATACTCCCTGAATTGATGGGTTTCATAACTACAGATTATGTCCAATGGATAGGATTTGGGTAAAAGGAAATTAACGAAAGAGAAGACCTTAGTATGCTTTGATCTCACTTGATATGGAATGCAGGGAACATTCTCTTGTCTAGGACTTCCAAATCTGGAAACTGTAATTCTCAGCAAACTGACACAAGAACAGAAAATCAAACACCGCATATTCTCACTCACAATTGGGTGTTGAACAACAAGAACACATGGACACAGGGAGCGGAGCATCACACACTTGGGTCTGTTGTGGGGGCAAAGGAGGGACAGTGGGTGGGGGGGAGGTCGGGGAGGGATAACATGGGGAGAAATGCCACCTGTAGGTGAAGGGGGATGGAGGTAGCAAACCACATTGCCATGTGTGTACCTATGCAACAATCCTGCATGATCTGCACATGTACCCCAGAACCTAAAGTGCAATAAAAAAAAGAGTATTTTTGATAGAAACACAGACACAACTGGACATAAAATGTATGTGACACAAGAATAGAGGCACCCACTTATCCTCCTGCCCTGTGTTTCCATGTGCAAGAATTTTTCTAACATAATATTCTGGGCCACTCCTGAGCTTCTCATTCCTCCATGCACAAGAAGGAACAGTTTATCAAATTGGTGACCTTGGGAAAAGAACCTGGACATACTCAGGCTAGTCCCTTAGTCCTATGTCAAATTAACCCATTAGCGGAAAATGCACAATTCCTGAGCGTGTGTGTGTGTGTGTGTGTGTGTGTGTGTGGACTGGAGGCCAGGGGATTGACTGAAGGTTTCCACAGTGTCAGTGACTGATGGGCAAGCCGGCACAGATCAGGAGAGCATAAGCAAGCCCACTTGGCCATATCTTTAAATTTCAGTTTATTTGATTAATATGCAGATACCTTTTTGTTTTAAGTTTTATTGACATAGAGTTCAGAAACCATAACATTCACCAATTCAAGGTATACAACTCAGTAGTTTTTAGTATATTCACACAGTGGTGCCCTTATCCTCACAATTTAATTTTAGAACATTTTTTGTCACCCCAGGAGAAAACCCTGGTGCACATCCGCAGCTCACTCTCCATCTCTAGGTGGTGACTAATCTACTTTGCATCTATATAGATTTGCCTGTTCCAAACACTTCAGGGGGATGGGATCAGAACGTTAAAAACACTGGGCTAAATGAAAGAAGATTGTTTACTTCCTTTTGCCTTCCTGTCCAGCTTCTTTCTCAGTTGGTTCTTACTCAATAGGGAAATAAAGGGATACTATTTCTTAATCCCCTAGAGCTACCATGTATCTAAAATGATTTCTTGTGCCCCATTTTGCCAATTTCTAATTATTTAACACTTTGGTATTTTCACTTTGTACGGATATTAAACTGTTACGAAGGTCAGCACTTATCCATTCATTCATTCCTTTATACTTTCAAAACACATTTATTCATCCCTAATATGTCTGCCAGATCCTGGGGCTTTCAAAATGAATAAACCCTGGTACCTGCTCTCTGGGAACTCACACTTAATTGTGGGGAATGGTTTAGGTAAAAAGTTGGGCAAAACATAAAAAAACTGACTCACTGGAAGATAAATCCAATGACTCTTGTTCAGCCTCAAATTCATTACAGGATGTGGCACCATCCATGGTTGCTGTCTCTGTGAAATTCCTTCTACCCTTTAGGAAACTGTCCCTGCCTGGTTCACCTGCCACTTCTCCTGTCACTTTTTGCTGTCCTTCTCTCCTCCATTCTCCCAACCATTCTCAAAAGCGGCCCTTCCTTAAAACAAATCCACCTTCCTTTTCTACCATCCAGTCCTTGGAGACATCATTCATTCCCACCGTGTCTACTCTCACCCCCGTGGCAACTTAAGAGTAGCACAAAGATGAGTAAAATGTGATTAGACAGACTTAGTGACACATTGGATGTTGGAATGGTAGGTTTGAGGTGCAGGTACTTGTGTGGATTGCTGTGGCCGCATCAATTTCCACCAAGTATTTCCATGTTTCCCTTGCCAATTATCGATTAGCTAACTTATCTCCAAAAGAGCACTCTCCTTCCTATCAATCCTTGATAAACATTCACTCGATAGTCCCATAAACTCCACACATTATCCCCAGCATTTGCTGCCTACGTCTGCACTTCGTGATCTTTATTTCAACCCAAAAGCTGCTGTCTGCTCTAAATCGGTGGTGACTTCATGGAAACTGCTGATTTATAGTGTTGACCCTTCTTGCCTATTCACATTTCAAATCCATAGAGTGAGAAGAGACCCAGAAATATTTATTCAGACAGATAAAATCCTCCCTATTTAACAGAACTGACTTCCATGAGCAGTGGGCACATCCTGTTACCTAGGGACATTTCCACGGGATTACGCACTAAGACTCTGGCTGTAACTGGAAGTTGCTGCCACTCAAGTGTCAAAACAAATAATGATAAAAACCAACCCTCCGAGAACTTGCAGGGGGTAGCTGATGCTTCTTCTTTAGATAAATACATTTTTAAAAAATTAGAAATGATTGTAACATAGATACCGGGAATATATGTAATCTAATAAGAGACAATATATTTTATATTATGTATATCACACAACAGAATATACTACCAGACATACTCTATACTATATATTTATAATATATATCTCACACATAATACAGTGATACATACTACAAAGAGTTGTATGTGTATCCATATACATATACATGTACATGTTCTATATAATTTTTTGTATAAAATGTACACATATGTATATGTATATATCACATAATTACACATTTCTGCAACAAAAGGAAGGTAAAAATTGTGTTTATTTTTCCCCTTTCCAAGGGCTCCAAAATTCAGAAGGTAAAAGAATGACGAATGAAATCTCCTCAAGCATTCTTGTTTACCATCGTCATCAACGCACACAACACTGGGGTGATGGCTCACATTTATTCAGCAGTTAACACACTCTAGGTAAACATCTGAATACTTTGCAGCTAGTATCTTCTTCAGTCTTCAGTACAAATCCATGAATCAGGCATTATTATTCCATTTTGTAGATGATATTACTCAGTTTTCAACAACTAGAGAGACTAGCTCAAGGTCTCCTAGCAATTCCACCCTGAGTCTCTCAGACCCCAAAACTGGGCTCTGATTCACTAGTCTGATTGGTTCCCTGATATTATTCTCTCTCTTTTTTAAAGACAAAGGGCTTCCTTCCTTCAAATACTTTAATTATTTCTTCATTCACTTGTCTAATTCAACTTAAAGTAGAACTTTCAAAGGTGTGGCTATTTACTCGGTATGTTCCAACTATTAAAAATGTGGGCACAACTTAGCCACATACAGGAACATGATCGTGCCAGCAAGAAGCAGGAAGTCACAGAGCGATTTCTAAAGCATAATCTGTTACCAAGCAAAGGTGGAAGCCATGAAAATCCATCCTTTCCTCTCTTGCTGAACTGGTGGATGTTCTGAATTGACTGGTAATAGGATCTGACTGGAAGATGAGAGGCAAATCCTTCTGAAATCCAAATGACTCTCAGAAATGTAAAGAGCAGACTGCATCCTGAAGGACACTGAGCTGAAGGCTTTTCCCACTCTGAAATAACCAACTCATTGAGAGGGAAGAACCATCTTGGCAAATGAAATGTAACTCATGTAATAATCACAGTAGCTTTGACATCCTGGTCGGAAAAGGACCATCTCAGCTGTCCACAACTGCTGTCTTATTATCAATCATCGAAATTGGTTACATTATTGGTTTTGGCTCTAATCTATGAATGGTCTTATCTGTAGCTATATTAGTCATGTATTACCAGGAAAACTTTTACAGAATTCCACATTTTAAGTGTACTTAACACCAAGCACCTCCTCTTCAGATCAATTATATCATAATTTACATTTTAAATATGATCATTTGATGAATGTGTGTACTACCAGCCTGCAGTCTTCATCTGCCAACAGCTACAAGGAACAGCTATCATTTGCTAAATGGTTACTTGTGCTAGGCATGTAAAATCATTTAGTCTTCACAACAGCTCTGTGAAGTAGCTGTTTATTCCCATTTTACAGGGAGGAAAATTTAGGCATAGAGTTGTTAAACAACTAGTCTGAGATCCCCCTGGTAGTAAAAGGCAGCCTCAGACTGGACCATCCCAGCAGCAAAGCTCCAGCCATGAGGGCAGCAGTCACATACATACTCACTGATTCCGTGTGTCCAACACTTAACAGATGCTACAGAACATTTGTGGCATTAATGAGAAACTGCTTATCCTGAGTTGGGCTAGTTCTGTGTGATGTACAGGGAAGTCCCTTGCTTTGTGTTAATCTCAGAGAGTTGAGCTCTGTAACCCAAAACTTGGAGGCATTATCATGTAAAATGGGTCCAGGTGTGGGTAGAATTCCTAGGGCCCCCAAGAGAAACAAAATCCATCTCTGCCTCTGCAAACCACCCTTGCTGATTCTACATCTGTATATTCCATTCATTTATTTATTTTTATTGCATTTTAAGTTTTGGGGTACATGTGAAGAACATGCAAAATCGTTCCATAGGTACACATGTGGCTGTGTGATTTGTTAGTTAGAGCTGTATTCCCTTCATTCCCACCTTACTCCATAGGTGATGAGACTGTTTTCCTGTGCTCCTCCAAACCATTAATGTCCACACTCATATTCCCATAAGTGAACACAGCCAGACCCAAAGGATAACCTGAGTCACCCAAGTATTCACTCCTTCCTTTAGTCTTGTCTGGGAAGAACTCACCAGAATGAAATATCTATTTAGTGCCAGGCATTGTTCTCATGAATGTAAAGTGCTGAAGAAAGAATCACAGAACAGTACTCTGTGTCTCAGGAAAGGCATGAATTCTTACAAACTAAAATTCACGTAGGTACATCCTAAGTATTGTAAGAAGAAAAAACAATTTCAATTGGGATGCAGAATAATACACTGATTTTTGCTCATGCTGGGAAAAGTTTAGGAAGAAGCCCAGAATTAGAACTGTACGGCGAAGGCCAGGCACAGTGGCTCATGCCTATAATTCCAGAAATTTGGGAGGCTGACGCAGGTGGATCACTTGAGGTCAGGAGTTCAAGACCAGCCTGGGCAACATGATGAAATCCCATCTCTACTGAAAACACAAAAATTAGCTGGGCATGGTGGCAGGCACCTATAATCCCAGCACTTTGGGAGCCTAGATGGGCAGGTTGCTTGAGGCCACGAGTTGGAGACCAGCATGGCCAACGCGGTGAAACCTTGTCTCTACTGAAAATACAAAAATTAGCCGGGCCTAGTGCCTTACACCTGTAGTCCCAGCTATTTGGGAAGCCAAGGCAGGAGAATTTTTGAACTCGGGAGGCAGAGGTTGCAGGAACTGAGATCATGCTACTGCACTGCAGCCTGGGTGACAGAGTGAGACCTCTGTCCCCCTCACCCAAAAAGAGAAGTGTACCATGGAGAACAGGGAGGGGTGGGAGGATGGAGAGGGACTCCAGGAAGAATGAAAAGAAAAATGTTTCAGCTGGAAGCACAAGTGAACAGCATTTCAGATTTAGTCATGAAGTATGGAATGGTGTCCACTTCTCCAATGGGTGGACTTGAAACTGTCGCCCCTCTTAGACAATGCTCAAAAAGTGTTACAAAATCCAGTGCAAAAGCAAAACCAGCCAAGGAAAGCATTTGTGAACCGGTAGCAGAGCAAACCGAGCTGGACAGTGGTTAAACTATGCAAGGGTCTATGAGACGGTCTGTCTACTAGTGAGCTTGTGTTTTCTTTTGTTTTTGGCTTCATCTAAAATATTTTACTTTGGAGAACCACCCTTGCCCCATTCTACATCTGTATATTTCATGTAGCTAGAGCTGTATTCCCTTCACCCCCAACTTACTCCATAGGTGATGAGGTTCAAGACCAGCCACTCAGAAAACTCCAGCCTTATCATCTAGGGATTTACTGAGAAGTATGCACATGACTGAAATTAGCCAATCAGAGCCTTCCCTAGAATTTTTGGCAGTATCCCCAGCAGGATACCAACTTCTTGTTTTTTCTTCTTGAGACAGAGTCGTGCTCTGCTGCCCAGGCTTGAGTGCAGTGGCATGATCTCAGCTCACTGCAAACTTCACCTCCTAGGTTCAAGTGAATCTCCTGCCTCAGCCTCCTGACTAAGTGGGATTACAGGCACCACCACCATGCCTAGTTCATTCTTGTACTTTTAGGGGAGACGGGGTTTCACCGTGTTGGCCAGGCTGGTCTCGAACTCCTGACTTCAAGTGATCTGCCCACATGGGCCTTCCAAAGTGCTAGGATTACAGGTGTGAGCCACTGCACCAGCCAAGGATGCTAACTTCTCAGAGACTATGTGTGTAAGAACTTTTAGTGGTGCCTGGTACCAAGAGGGGAGGCACATCTGGGAGAATCACAGTTCTCGTGACATTGTGAAATCTTCTGACTGGGTTGAACCTGAAGTCTACCCTTTGTGCTTCCTGGTTCTATAATCTAATTCTTTTTATTTTCTTAATTTTAATTGAAACTTTATTTATGTTTTATTTGTATCTTTCTCATCTCTGTGACTACCTGGAGAGCTTATTTGAAACTTACTTTTTTTTTTTTAACTTGGAACTAAAGAAATTTTGATGAAATCAGTTGTAAAAATCCTTGTAAGTTCATACATTCTAACTCTATGCTGGCTGTAGCTTCGTTTCTCATAACAAAACCTAGAAAGTCCAAAGGGACACTACATACCCCCAAACAATTTGGTATTGAGACCCCGGCCTTTGGAATTCTCATTTCTGTTCTTTTTTTTTTTTTTTTTTGAGACGGAGTTTCGCTCTTGTTACCCAGGTGGGAGTGCAATGGCCCGATCGCGGCTCACTGCAACCTCCACATCCTGGGTTCAGGCAATTCTCCTGCCTCAGCCTCCTGAGTAGCTGGGATTACAGGGACGCGCCACCGTGCCCAGCTAATTTTTTGTATTTTTAGTAGAGATGGGGTTTCACCATGTTGACCAGGATGGTCTCGATCTCTTGACCTTGTGATCCACCCGCCTCGGCCTCCCAAAGTGCTGGGATTACAGACGTGAGCCACCGCGCCCAGCCGTCATTTCTGTTCTTTTAAGCACCACATTATTTTCTAAGCTGCCTAAATTATTCAAATGATCTCGGACACCATAGCTTGTATGACAGTTGCTGACATCTAGCAAAACAAAGCCAAAGTTTACAAGACGGATGGAGATTATGAATAAAGGACTGCAGCATCCAAGACTCTCAATATTCAAGGCATGTCAGTAAAGTGACACATTTAACTGGGTTAAATGTAAACCACTCTTTACTATGTAAAATATGTGTACCCTTCACAGAACTGAAGTTACTACTAAGTCCTGTAATTTTTACTCCAGTGAATAGTCTGAGCTTGCCAATAAGAAAACAGAATAAGGGCTATGATTAAAGAGACTTTCAGGGTACATGCCTTGCCATAGCTCTTCTCTTTCTTTCCCAGCTAAGGGTCTTGCTTGCAGTCTGGGGTTTAATCAGCATCCTAACTGTGAGGAACCCTGTAAATTGAATACCATTCCTTTCCAGAGTTCAAACAAGTCCCATTTGAAGGCCAAGGTTTAGATGCAAATATGAAAGACATGATTTTGAGGGAAAAAAAAATCAAACATGACCAGAAAGGACCCCGGTCTAAATGAAATGTATCTCAGAGCAGATTTTCTCTGATCTCTGCTTTAGAAAGATCAGCTTTCTTATTTGAAACTTCAAAAAGTGGTCACATTTATTATATTTCTAGAAGTCTGTAAATCATGACTATTTCTTCCTTTTCCCCTCCCTCAGGAGAGAGAGAGAAAAAAAGGTCTCATTCTGCCTGACTTCCAGGAAGAAGATTTCATGACTATCTCAATAACAACAACAAAAAAAAAAAACAGAAAAGAAAAAAATAACCACAGTTTGTCTGTTCTGTTATCAGCAATTAAAGATACTTTATCTAGTTACTATGGAAGATGGCACCAGTTGACAATCATCTCTGACGAACTGATCATTATCAGTAATTTATGACCAGTTTCTTAGTTAATTATCCTCAGGAAGGAGAGCAAAAATCATTTGTATAGAAAATAAGTAGTCATTAACAACAGTGGAATTCGCTGGGAATGTGGTTATAAATCATCAGCCAGCGCTGGTAATGATTCCTGGGAAGAAAGAGGAGGGAGAAAAAACAGACACTCTATCCAACTTTAGGGAACTATTCTGGGGGAAAAGTACTTTATAATAAACTTTTTCCCACCAATTAAATTGAAGAATGGCTTGCCTCTTAAGTAAAAGAGTACCAGACACTTTATTCTCAATGCGGCATAGTTGGGCAGGAGAAGAACACATTTCTGCTTCAGCAGGCAAAGCCAGTGATGATACACGCACTCAGGCACTTTAAAATTCTGCCTCCAGTGTCTAAGCTCACTTTGAGTCAAGAAAAAGGGTCCCACTTCACTTTTTGAAAGTTAATTGAATCTACAGACCAAGCTTTGATTTAAGAGTCTGAAAACTGTCTGGTCTACAAACCAAGCATGGACTTAGGAGGCATGATCTGTATTTGAGCTTGTCATTGCCAATTGCAAGTTAAGAATCTTTGGGCATGTTATGGAACCTGTGACCCGCCCCCAACTTTTTTTTTCTTTTTTTTTTTTTTGGGATGAGGTCTCTCTCTGTCACTGGGGCTGGAGTGCAATGGTGCAATCTTGGCTCACTGCAACCTCCGCCTCCCAGGTTTACATGATTCTCCTGCTTCAGCCTCCTGAATAACTGGGATTACAGGAGACTGCCCAGCTAATTTTTTGTACTTTTAGTAGAGACAGGGTTTCTCTATGTTGGCCAGACTGGTCTCGATCTCTTGACCTGGTAATCTGCCCACCTTGGCCTCCCAAAGTGCTGGGATTCAGGCGTGAGCCCCTGCACCCAGCCGACCCCGTTTGTAAAAATGGAGGATGGGTATCTGCTATGGGTTAAGTCATGTCCCCTCCAAAAGATAGATAAACCCCTAACCTCAGGTACCCGGTCATGCCACCTTATTTGCAAATACAGTCTACAAAAAGTAATCAAAGATGAGGTCAATAGGGTGGGCCTGTCCTTATAAGGAGGAGAAATGTGTACACAGAGACAGATGCAGACATGAAGATGATGTGAAAAAACCCCAAAGAGAATGCCACATGACAATGGCCGCAGACGGAGGTGCTACAGAGCTGCCAATCACAGTATGAAAGAGATTACCACCAAACCAGAAGTCAAAAGAAGCAAGGCAGAATTCCCCTCCGGGTTTCAGAGGGAGCAAGACCCAGGTGACACCTTAATTTTGGGCTCCTTGCCCCAGAAGAGTAACGACATACACTTCTGTCATTGTTTTTAACCACCCAGTTTGTGATACTAACTAATACACTACCTTACAAGGTCTTTGTACAGCTTAGACGAGAAAAGGCTTAGAACATCCTTGGGACAAACTCTGGCAGGTGATATGTGTGCCATAAGAATACTTCTTCAAAAGCTTCCTGAGTGATGACCCTACTTCGACAAATAATAATTAATAGGATTTTAGACCAAGCTTGTTCAACCCACAGCACATAGTTCACATGTAACCCAGGATGCCTTTGAATGCAGCCTAACACAAATCCATAAACTTTCTTAAAACATTAAAATATTTTTCTGTGAATTTATTTATTGCTCATCAGCTATTGTCAGTGTTAGTGAATTTTACGTAGACCCCGAGACAATTCTTCTTCTCCCAACATGGCCCAGAGAAGGCAAAACACTGGATATCTCTGTTTTAGACAACAGTATGCAGATGCTGTCTAGCATGTACAGCACTCAAGCTGAAAGAGCTTTAGGCTCGGCATCAGAACCCTGGGATTCAGCCCCTATTCTTCCATTTCCAAGTTTTTGCCACAGCAGGCTTTAGACTCCTCTCCCACAACTTTGAGGCTGTCCAGTAACGCCTTCCTCACAAAGATGCCATGAGCCCCAAGCGGGAAAATGCACATCATAAGCCCTTTGTAGTTTGAGGCACATTTCATTCAGCAGTGCCACTAAGGTGGGTTCTGGGGACTCCACGGTGAGCAACTCAGCAAACGCCACTCCAATAAATCTGCAGTTAGCACAGTGAGATCTTTCGGGTGGCAAGTAGTTACTGGAGGGTTTGAAATTGCCTCTCTTTCGAGTCTAAACTGAGATGTGACACAAGAGCAGACCTTGCCAAATGATCGTGACAGGAGGCACCCTCTGGCAGAAGAAGAGGCACACGTCTCCAAGGCTGCAACAAAACAGCCATGGAGGCCAGTGTGTTGAGAGCCCTAGGAATAAAGGCCTGGAGAGAAAGAGAGGGAGAGAGGGGTCAGAGAGAAAGGCAAGAAGCCAGACAAAACTGGGATGACAGGCCAAGCTATCCATTTTTATTTTACATTTGGGTTTTTTTGGTAAATGTTTCTTTTTTCCCCCTTTTCTTTTTATTTCTTTCTTTCTTTTATTTTAGGTGCATACGTTATCTGGCATTTCTCCCTATGTTATCCCACCCTCCCCCCTTTCCCCCACCCCCCACTGTCTCTCCCCTAACCCCCGCCAACTGCCCCAGTGTGTGATGCTCCTCTCCCTCAGTCCACGTGGTCTCTTGTTCAACACCCACCTATGAGTGAGAACATACGGTGTTTGGCTTCCTGTTCTTGTGTCAGTATTCAAGGCTAGGAAGTGGGGAAAGTTGGGGAACGATAACCTGATTTGAATATTAAAAGGACCAATCTATTACAAAAAGACTGGATCTGAAGACAAAGGATAGAGGGAGACCAGTTAGGAAGCTTGCGGTCCAGATGCAGGTAGCTTGGATTAACGTGGCAAAAATGGCACTAGGAAAAGTGCGCAGATTTTTAGAATCATTTGGAGGCAAGCCATTATTATTACTTTTATCTCTTAATTTAATTCAACTCAGTCCTATTGCAATGCCTTCTGCCACTTCCCTGACAGATGGTCAGCCTACTAAAAAAAAAAGATTCATTAGTTTAAACCAAATAACCTATGCTTAATCACCCTTTCCCTCATCCTCCATAAAAAAATAAACTCTTAATAATCATAAAAAGCAGACACATGCAAACAATGCTACTGGGCATAGGTAACAGATTCCAAGTTGGATCAAGTCCCATCATAATATCATTGGTAGTGGGTGCCCTATGCTGACAAATCTATGTGCTCAGGATCACTCAATTCTTACAGTATCTGTGAGAGAGGAGTATTATCATTTCTAAAATCTCTTATATAGAACCATGAAGTTAATAAAAAGAGTGTTTGGATCCACAAGATCGAAGGCCAAGAGAAAACAATACGAAGAGTTGCTTATCATTGATCATGAAAAGTTCAGAGCTGAATTCACACGAAAAATTCCTATGAGATCCTACGAAACAGTAAATTACAGAGTCTCCCAGAATACCCATTCACCAAAGCTAGACAGGGAAGCTGAGGATATAGGTGCAAATGTTTGCCAGGTGTTCCCTGGAAGAGGGGGAAAAGATGTTATTCTACCACTGGTGATGCTTCTGCTATGATCTAGATATGCTTGATTTGAATCCATTCTAAGTTCTGAGGTTAGTTTCTTGCAACCACACCTGTGGTGGCCCAGAAGTACTTCTTTCCCGGAAAAGTGTGGTCCAAGTACCATAAAACGAATGCCTGTTCAAAGGGCCTTTTGTCCCCAGAATGAGCACCATCATGGTTATGGGGCTGAATCAAATACTCTATGATGCCCAGAAGAACATCTCAGGTACTTGTTTGTATTGGGCAAAGATGAGAAATCAGAGACAAGGTGCTTTTCAACATCTCTCCTCTTTATACTTTCTTGGATTTAAAAGAAAAATGTCCTTGTATTTTTTTGTCCCCCAAATATCAAGATGGACTTTCTATCTTCTGTTATCCTTCCTGGGTTCTTTTTTATTTTCTTTCCCAATGCAGGGTAGCTGGAAAGATGTTACTTCTTATCCCAGTGTACACTCTGTGGTGACATTTCAGAACACTTGTCTTATAAAGATTTGAGAAAGAGATTCTAACTCCCTCTAAGATGCTTCTGTGTGAACCTCAGCGAAAGATTTTCACATAATCCTGCAGGTTCTCCTCTCTCTTCACCTGCCAAGGTGTCTCCTTCCAGCCAGGCGAAAATCATCCAGGCCAGATGGGCATCTAAGTGGAAAACAACACAACAACAACAAAACCCAAAGCAGCAGTAAAGGCCTTGTCAGAGCCACAGTAAGGTATAAAAAGTACAAAGCCCAACACGCAAGAGGAAAGGTCTCAGAGAGGAAAGAAATGGGTTCCCACGCCGAGCCAGAAGTCAAAGTCAAGAAAGAAAATGTCTCTTCTGGCAGGCTTGGCTCATGCCAACCCAACAAAGGTTCACAGAGTCTTAGGGGTCCCTGCCCTTCCATTGTGTCAAGTCACAGGCAGTAACGAATCTTAAGGAGGGGCAGCTGTTCAAATTTTCAGAGTCACTGACGTTATACGTAAACTCGAGTAATAGTACTCGAGTAGTAGTCAAATGTAAATTTTCTCAGCAAGGCAATTTACCTCTGTAGAAGGGTGCATCTCACAGATGGAGCAACAGTGAGCAGACACGTGGACAAGGGAGGGGAAGGGCTTTTTATTCCTGACACAGGTAGCCCCTGCTGCTGTGTTGTTCCCCTACTGGCTAGTGTTGAACCACGCAGTCTAAGCTAATTCTGATTGGCTATTGTAAAGAGGGCAGAGGTACCAGCCAGACTGGTGGGGTGGGTAGTTTGGCAGGAAGGACAGTTATGGAACAGGTCAGAGCAGGTGACCAGGGGTGACTCATGTCAAAGCAGGTGACCAGGGGAACAGATGTGAACTACTGATTAGAACTGGTGGGAAAGTTGTTTACCAAAACTAGAGGCAAAGGGGGCAAAGAGAACCAGGAAGTTGAATTTTAAAGTGGAGAATTAAAGAATAAGAGAGTGGAGCACATTGACACACTGATTCTTTGAAGAGAAACTTGGAGTTCACGATATATAACACTGAGTTCACAGCTACAGGTGGCCTGGAGGAGATGCCATCCTAACGATTTTAAACATTAAGCTTAGGGCATCTTCTCCCCTCCTCAAGAATACTTACATGTTCGACCTAAGGGAGGGGGTACAAATATGCCACATTTTGAGTGAAACTCTCATCATCTGCTAAACGCGGAGCTTATTTCCATTTGAAATGTACAAAACTATTGATTGAAATTGGCTTGGATGTGATCGCTGCCAAAGAAGACCGTGGCCCTGGGGAGGGAGAGGGAGACAGGAGGGATGATAAACAGCAGGGTGCCTGGGAGCAGAGTGATACTGCCCTGTGATGACAGACACCCCTTGTAACTGTGACTCAGCATTGTGTGGTTCCCACTATTGTATCCAGAGGAAGTCAAGGCCAGGCTGATGAAGTTTACAGTCTTACAAAAGAAGACAACTGGGGCACCCACGAAGGCATAACAGGCATCTTAAGACTGTGGTCCCACGCAGGGCAGTGGATCACGCAATTACCCATCGAGACATTTTTTCTCAGCTGCAGTCCTTGGGCTCAGAGGAAAGCACACGTAGGGTGAAACTGTCCAGTACACCTGCACTTATCCCTGCATTCAGTCCACCCCACAATTCAGCCCTATGTGAGGTGCTACTCAAGAAATACGAGAAATAGGTAAGTATCCACCCTCTGGTCAGGCGTGGCTTACAGATCTCAACGTTATTTTTTAAATAGCTGTTGGGAGGACAAGCTAGCTCACACCTGTAATCCCAGGACGTTGAGAGGCAGATGCAGGAAGGTTACTTGAGGCCAGGAGTTTGAGACCAGAGTGGGCAACATAGCAAGACCCTGTCTCTAAAAAAAAAAAAATTATCTGGGTATGGTGGTGCACACCTGTAGTCCCAGCTACTCAAAAGGCTGAGGTGGGAGGAATGCTGGAGCCTGGAGTTTGGGGCTGCAGTGAGCTACAATCATTCTATTGCACTCCAGCATCAGTGACAGAGAGAGACCTGATATCTTTAATTAAAAAAATTAAATTAAATTTTAAAAAGGTGTAAATCAAAATGAACTCTAGCTGCTGCACAGAGCCTGATGCAAACTTCTCTTTGGGTACATCTCTTCGGATGCTCACGCTGAACGGTTAAAGTTGTTGGTAAGTCTTCTTCGCTTACCTCTCCCACTGACTCTAGGGTCCAGACTTCACCTTTATGTCCAGCATCCATCCTCCATCCACGTAGCTGTACCAGCTAAGTGGATACCATGGCTACCATCTTAGCAGCTTCCATCATCTTTTCTCTGACCTACAGCATTTGCCTAGAAGTGATATTCTTGCTCTTTACACAATTAAATTTCCATCTAGGCGTCAGACAGGTTTTTAAGACATAAAGCATATCCTAGCCCTCCTCTATTTAAAACTCTACAATGACTTTCCATTGCACTTAGAAAAAATGTTCCATTCACTGTGCCCTATCTCAGGTACCACTACGTCACCCTGACATAACACTGATGTCATCTTTCTCAGCAGATAACTGACTCACCTATTCACTGTCTGCTCTCTGCACTGTGACCAACTCCCTGTGAGCAGGGAACGGTTCAGTGTTGGTCACTGCCATAACTTGTTTAGGAGAGTGTCTGGCATTGGTGAAGGGCTCCATAAACACCTGTTAGATGAATGACGAATGCCAGAGCCCCCTATCTCTACAAGTAGGAGGTTGAATATCTTGATGTCAAAGTTCCCTCCCAGGTTATTTCAGGAGAGACTGCAGTCTGTTTCCCTTCAGAGCCTAAGACAGGAAGACCTAGAGCCCTTACTGAGCAGAGTTTAAGAGTTCTCACCTGTGTCCTACTCCCAACTCAGTGTGAAAACTTAGGTTATTTTCCACCTCTGAAAGAGAGGTTTCTTTTACTTGGCAATATCTTAGAGCTTTTCCATCTCTAAAAGGAACATTGTCCTAGGATCCCTCTTTATAGAACTTGATTCACTCATGCTTCCTCTTGGTGCTGCTTTACAATGTAGAAATGTCTTGTGGGGGGGCTCTGGGCAGGAATTTCCTCCAAGGAGTCAGAGAAACGACCCTTCAATGGATTTACAATATAGAAATAGAATGAATGTAATCTGAGATACAGTAATCCACTGGTCGTTTCACTAGCAAAAAAAAACTACAGCTAGGGTAAGACAAGCCGGGCTTTTGAAAGAGTTATTTTAAATGAGTAGTTAGGTAACTTAATACATTTTAAAATCTGAGTCTGTTTAAAGCATTGTATAAGAATTTATCAATGCAGACATCACAGATTTGGCATTCTTGAAATTTCCGGATAGAGACTGAGTTTTTTTTATAGCCAGCCAGCTGATCTCACGGTTATCTACAAATAAAGAACAACAACTGAGGGAGAATTTCACAGATTCTAAGGCCAAAACCTACTTTCGAGAATGTTAAAGTGGTGAAGCATCATTAACAAAACAGACCTCAGAGTCATAGGCAGGATTCCCCAAGCCACATATGACATCAGGGCATTATGCTGAAAACATGGGTTCTTCAACTGACAGAGGGCAACCTGCTTCTCTGTGTCATCAAAAGCAAGTCACCTGAGGCCCTGCACAGGACAGAGACTGTTGAACTGTGGCTGTGGCTGTGTACGCCTGAGAGTAATAAAGTTTCCGTTCTCTTAAGACATTATTCATTTTTTCAAAATCTCGTGGTTCTGAATTGCATTTTTCTCTCTTTTTCTTTTCTTTTCTTTCTTTCTTTTTTTGAGATAGGGTCTTGCTCCATTGCCCAGGCTAGAGTGCAGTGGCGCAATCACCACACACTGCAGCCTCAGCCTCCCAGGCTCAAGTGGTCCTCCCACCTCAGCCTCCCAAGTAGCTGGGACTACAGATGTGGGCTACCACCCTCAGCTAATTTATGTTCATCCTTAGGCTAGTTCTCTGTGAAGAAAACCATTTAAAGTTCCCTTGTCTTAGTGGAGAAGGTTTAAAAGTTCATGCAGAAGGAAAAAGACAGCTTGTAGGAAGACAACGAGATAATTCTCAAGAGTATGTGTGTGTTTTAAAGAAGTGTAGTGTGCAAACAGACCCAAACTATGCAGTAGAGTGAAAACTAGGACGGAGGTAGCAGTGATAATAATACGGTGACAGCCAGGGTTGATGTGGAGTGCTGCTGTGTGCCAGATGCTACCCTAAATGCTTTCCTGCTTACCTTACTTCATCATTATCCGCTCCTATAAGTGCTACTCCATGATTTATTTGGGAAACAGACTCACTGGGAAGCTGAAAGACTGACCCACACTTATACACACCACCAAGTGGTGGAATTAAGGTTTAAACCTCCATCTGCCTCTATTATTCTGCCCAGTGATTCAAGTGAGACTTTCCTGCCAAGGAGAAGAAGAGTCACAGAATAGGTTTTTCTTGTTTTTTGTTTTTTTCACCAAATATCATCAACTGTTCTTTCTGCTGGGGTCAAAGGAGTTAGCCTTGTAGAGACAGCAATGTAGAGGGACTTTACCCCACACGAGACAGTAAAAATAATACTGGAATGACATAGGATCTGGACGTAAAAACACCAACAAGCCAACCAACCAACCAATCACCCTTCCACTTTACAACCTGGTACCAGCTAAGAATAGACAACAGTCAAATCATTGGAATGAGGAGATAATCCCTGGCATCTAAAGTAGTAAGTATGGCACCATTTCACAGTGGCTGCTAAATGGATACAGGACGAAGAACCACCGATTAGCAATCAAGACAGAGGCCCTGGAAGAAGCCGTGAGAAAAAACAGGAGCTGGAAAAGGGCAAATGCATTCAGTGGTCAAGAGTGAGTGAGAATTCTGTGTTTATCTTGGTTTAACTTCCAAAGTGTTTTCTACAGCTACCGTGCCATTTTGCACTCCAACCAGCAAGGCCTGAGAGTTTCTGTTTCTCCACGCCCTGGACAACATCTGTTACCTTCTGTTATTAATATCAGCTGCCCTCCTAGTGGGTGTGACATGTCGTCTCCTCGCGGCTTTGATTTGCAATGCACGCTCTCTCTCTCTCTGTCTGTCTCTCTCTCTCTCTCTCTCTCTCTCTCTCTCTCTCTCTCTCGTGTGCTCTCTCTCTCTTTGAGATAGTGTCTTTCTTGTTGCCCAGGCTAGAGGGGAGTGGTGCAATCACCACTCACTGCAGCCTCAGCCTCTGAGGCTCAAATGATCCTCCCACCTCACCTCCTAAGTAGCTGGGACCACAGATGTGTCCCATCACACTCAGCTCATTTATTTTTATTTTTTGTAGAGATGAGGTCTCCCTGTGTTGTCCAGGCAGGTATAAAACTCTGGTGTTCAAGAGTTTTGGCCTCCCAAAGTGGTGGGATTTCAGGTGTGAGCCACCATGCCTGGCCTGATTTGCATTTCTCTAATGATGAATGGCGTTGAGCATCTTTCTCTGTGCTTATCGCAGGTGATGACTGCACAGCACTGTGAATCTACTGAATGGCCTTGAATTGCACTCTTTAAAACTCACATTTCATATTATGTGAATGTTACCTGTATAAAAAAAAGTTTGAAAGTATAAATATAAACAAAGAACTAACCTGCAAGTCACTATAGTGTTCCTAACATATCCTTTTTACAAAAGAAAAGAAAAGAAAGAAAGAAAATACTGCTCTTTAGGCCAGTTCTTCCATTCAGCTAATTACTATAGATAATGATTTAAATATATATTTTTTTCTATACATAAAGAAAATCACCCCTTCTGGATGTGTAAGTACTTTCCTGAATTTCAGCTATCGGTGAGTGCTATGCGGTGGTCTTCAGTTGGAACCACAGTATCTTCTCTTATCTGCTACAAAACATATTGCAGCACTGTGCACAACAGCAAAGACTTGGAACCAACCCAAATGCCCATCAATGGTAGACTCCATAAAGAAAATGTGGCACATATACACCATGGAATACTATGCAGCCATTAAAAAGGATGAGTTCACCTCCTTTGCAGGGACATGGGTGAAGCTGGAAACCACCTTTGTCAGCTAACTAACACAAGAACAGAAAACCAAATATCCCAAGTTCTCACTCATAAGTGGGAGCTGAACAATGAGAACACATGGACTCATGGAGGGGAACATCTCACAGTGGGACCTGTCGTGGGGTGGGGGTCTAGGGAAGGGATCGCATTAGGAGAAATACCCAATGTACATCATGGGTAGGCAGGTGCAGCAAACCACCAAGGCACATGTATAGCTATGGAACAAACCTGTACGTTCTGCATATATACCCCGGAATTTAAAGTATAATAAAATAAAAGAAGAGAAAACCCTTAAGGAGTGGCCTTAGGTACTCAATTAATATTTGCGAGAGGTTTATAATGATGAAAATGCAAAAACCTCCAGACATTACACCCCAGACAAATAAACTGCATTTCAGGGTAACAGTCCACGAGCAGTACAGGCATTTCAGCGTGGACTCTGAAATCAAACTGCCTGGGTTCAAATTCCACTGGATGTTAGCTCTGCAACTCGATCACATCCCTAAACGTCTGTAAGCTTACAGCCCCTCAGCTGTGGAACAGAGATAAGCATCGGTGCCTCTCTGTACTGTCGTTAGTGTTAAATAATACAGGCAGGGCTCAATTTATGGTAGCTATTCTAGAAGAATACCTACCCAATTCACCCAGAATTGTAAGCTGTTTTATTTCTCCTCTCGATGCAGTTCTAGTGCAGAGACATCCACATGCAAATACACTTCTGCTGCTTAACACCCTCTAAAATCTTGCTGTTCATCGTATGGACCAAGAACCAGCGGCAGGAGCATCACCGGGAAGCTTGTTAGAAGTGCCTCAACTCAGGCTCCACCCCAGACCTACTAAACAGAATATGCATTGTACGAAGATTCCTAGAATGATCCCTGTGCTCACTGAAAGCGTGAGAAGCCCTGGTATGGAGAAGGAGAAGGAGAAGGAAAGTTCATGAGAGCGTGTTTCCTAAACCAGAGCCGAAAGGAGCTGTAGCTGTTCTTCCTATAGTACGTACGACTATACATTTGGTTTCTTCCCCCCAGAAAAGACAACGGACAGGGAGGAATCCCCTTAGATTAGCAGAGTATTAGAAGAAACAAAAATTATCTTGTATACACATAATTTAGGTATGTCATATGCTCTTCTCCAAATTATTCTAATATTCTGAAAATGTTATTGTTAATTAACTCCCATGAGCAAAATAAGCCACAAGAATGCATCACTGTACTTGGCCATGACAGATCAATGTCACTGACTTCCTGCGTTGTTCATCTCTCTTTAATCTTTTAGAACTCCTCCCACTTGGGAGCCATCTTGAGTTGTTGGGTCTAAGAAACTACTATACAAATCTGAAGCTATCATAGCAATCCAACAGCCCTCACAAGCCATACTAGCTGAAGAAACACGGCTGTTTGCTGCCAACTATAATTAGACTTATCACACTTCAAGAACAGAAGGAAAATTAAAAAAAAAAAAAAAAACAAAACCTCCTGGGCCCCCCATCGTCCTTTTGCGACAGAGCTAATTTAAAAGCCACATTACTCTGATGATATGGAATTTATGAGGGATGTCCCACGTCATATTATGCATTAACTGGAAGTCAACAGGGGAGGACAATAGGGGACACAAATTAGCATGTGCAAAACATTTGGCGTCAATTGAATCTACTCAACTGCATGCTGGTAGAAACATAAATTGCAAAGCGATATCTATTTTTTTCCTTCCTACAAGATTTGCTGGAGACAGTGCAAGTTTTGAAAGACTCTTGAGGATACTACAGATTTATCTGAAGTCCAAAGAAGGAAGTACTTTTATAATCCAAGATTTTTGGGCTGCATTTATACAAAAGGTAGATTGTAGTCTTGTGATGATTGTGGTCCTGTGATAATTTGTGTAAATCATCTGCGTATCAATATTTACTAAGCATTTGGTGATTAATATTCTGGTATCACCTCTGCTATGAATAGGATACCCATTCCTACTAACATGAAAAGTATGAATCACACATATCTGTTTTGTGGTTAGCCTAGAGATAAATATATACGGAGTCTTTGGTTAGAAACTGAAGAGGCATCTTGGTGGGTGAAAGTTTAAGGTAACTGTCATCTCTAGAGGGAGACTACAGGAAAAGGGAAGAAATAGAAAAATAAGTAATAAACTTAAATATCCATATTGCCACCACTGAGGAAAAGAGAATGGAGGGGGAGAAACTGAGCTTGTGTAACATAAAAATAGGCAGTGAATAATTAAATACATGTGCACTGGTTGCTGTAGCCCCTGAGAAAGATGAAAGTGTCTTTCTGGAAGGGTTTTGCTTAAAGGACTGTGGCTTAAATCCTCAAAAATGTCCATGTGTCATGATCCTGGCCTTCAAAGGAAGCCTACAGCAATGTTTGATGGATTGGATCATTCACAAAATCATTCAATCATTCATTTAAGCATTTGTGACAGCCATTTACATGTGCTACAGATACACTGATGAATAAACCTGACATGAGGACAACCATCATGGGGCTTATAGGGAATGGGAGTGAAAACACAGAGATGATGGTTTTAGGAGGTTGAGTGGTATGAAAAGAAAAATGGATCACAGTTTATGAAAGAATACGCATAAGGTTCTCATGTGGTTTAGGATGGTGGGGCTTGGGAGACCTCCAGTGAATCTCTATCCATGAAAATTATTGCACACTGACCTCATACCCACAGGAGCTTCGAAGCTGATCTCTGCTGGGTTAGCTTTCTCCAGTGTGATCCCTCAATGTCTCCCTCAGACTTAACTGGAGACAGAGCTTTGGCTGGAAGGAAAGTGACCAACTATTCCAGTGGGTTTGGAATGGAGGATTTTTCAGAATGCAAGACTTCGAGTGCTCACACAGAAAAAATCCCGGACAAACCGGGACACGTCTTCCACTCTAACTGGAATCGTTCACTCCTGGTTTCTTCCCGTGGAATCTCCTTTCGACCATGGTCCTCACTTGATTTTTGCTGCAGGAGGTGGAATCCAATGGTATAGCGGACCTGTGCCATGAATGACTGCTCTTCCTTCAAACACCCTTTGTATTTGCAGATGGCCGCTACCTCCCGCTACAAAAACCAAAGAAGTTTTCTAATAGTTGAATGCAAGCATATGACCAGGCTTGCCCATTAGGATATGTCTCCCTGTGCTTTTTATTTTCATTCATGTATAACTACCTGAACCGCACAGATATTAAGTATAGAGCTCTATGGTGTTTTGCCAACACATACACACACGAACCAGTACCCCAGTCAAGGTGCAGAGAAATGCCATCTCCCTAGAAAATTCCCTTCTCCCTCTTTGCATTCTCTGCTCGTCCCCCAGCAAAGAATGCAAAAGCAGCAAGTACTTTTATAATCCCAGATTCTGGGGTTGCATTTATACAAAAGGTAGACTGTAGTCTTGTGATGACTGTGGTCTTGTGATGATTTGTGTAAATCATCTGGCTAACAGTCTTTACTAAGCATTTGGTGACTAACACTCCTGTATTACCCCTGCTATGAAGAGGATGTCCATTCCCAATGGCATGAAAAGCATGAATCATGCATCTCTGTTTTGTGGATAGCCTGGAGATAAATATATATGTAGCCTTTGGGTAGAAACTGAAGAGGCATCTTAGCGGGTGAAAGGCAATCACAAACCAGACTTCTATCCCCACAGGCCAACTGCTCCTGTTCATCAACTTCATAAAACTAGAACCATAAAGCATGGACTCTTGTGGATAATTTCTGTTGCTGAGTATAATGCTCTGTGTGTGTGTGTGTGTGTGTGTGTGTGTGTATACATAGTGTGTACACACACACACACACACACATTGATGTGCTCGTCAGCAATTCATTTCTTTTTATTGCTGGATAGCATTCCACTGAGTGACTACACAACTTCCTATGCATTCACTTGTTGATGGACGTTTGGGTAATTTCCCTTTTTTCTTCTTTTGCCTTTACAAATAAACACGCCATGAGCATCCGTGAAGAAGTCTTTGTGTGCAGATATGTTTTCATTTCTCTTGATAAAATATTTAAGTCCAGAGCCACATCTCTGTGTATGTGTGTAGACGTATACGTGTGTGTGTGTGTGTGTGTGTGTGTGTGTGTGTGTGTGTGTGGCTAGTTAGTATATTTTCTCCCAGTGGTTTGACTTTTCAATCTCTTAAGGTCTTTTTATGGAACAAAGTTTTTTATTTTGAGGAAGCAAAGTCAAACTTCTCTTTCAGGCTTAGCACTTATTGTATTTCATCTGGGAAAATGTTGACCATGCTCAGTTTTCAAAGATAGATGTGTGTGTTTTCTTCCAGGGACTTTCAAGTGCCTGCTTTTGTAGTCAGGTCTGCAACCTATCTTCAGTTAATTTTTGTCTATGATGGAAAATACGGATCTGAGTTACATTTTTCCATCCCAGCATCCAGTTGGTCCGGGATTATTTGTTGAAAAGACTGGCTTTTCCTCCTCAAAATGTACTGTTACTTTTTTAAGGAAAATAAAAAATCCCTGCACTCTGTATGTTACCATCGGTCTTGGGTCTCAAGGGGCTAGGTGAAAGCACAGGCTACATCAAGCACCGTCACTGGAGGCTGTGTCCAGGGTAGAATCTGGAACCACGGCTCTGCGTTCACGAGTATGGATGCTGGTGGTGTCACGTGGCAGTGATCACAGTGCTGGAGGCAGCATCCACAGCGGGCAGTTGCTATGCAGGAATCCTAATGGGACCTTCAGCACCTGCATCTGTTTTCTGAGCCAGGTTCTCAAGTTTTCCTGATGATTCTGCATTCTCCCCAAAAGCATTCCAATCAAATTATCATTTGCATAGGTTACCTAAAAATGTTCTCTGTTGCAGACAATCAAGAATCCTGCACCGGTACAGTCGATCTGCCCACACACTTAGTATCAGTGTCTCATCCAGTTCCATGGTTTGGCTTTACTGCTCCTGTATTGGTGTTGACAGTTCTCAATGCCTGCCATCTAGCACTCGGCCAACCTAGGATGCTCCTGGCTATGCCAAGTGTGCTTTACAACAGAGCAGAGCATGGGATGCATCAGAAGTAGGATGAGTCTTCTTGCAACTCATTCCCACATAGCCAGCACAATTTCTAGTAACGCACAATGGTTCCTCAGGGACACTGGGAGACTGTCCTTTATACAGGCAGAAAGTGGGAGGAAGGGGACCAGTGGTGTCGGTGACACAAGCAGTCAAGGGGCCAGAGAAAGGTCTTCGATTTACATAGAAACTCGGAGAACTTCACCTTCTCACATTCCACAATGTGTACATGCTAGGAGCAGAGACAGGCAACGTGGGAGTGGGACGGTAACTGCACTAAAAAGAAAAAAAATATTTAAGCTCAGACAAGTGGGAATGGAGTCCAATGCGACTGTCCAGGAGAGGAATCCGGAGTGGAAAAGTGCACAGTCCAGAGTGTACATGTGCAGGGAGAAATCTGCAGAGGAAACGGTGACCAGGAAGTAGAGCAAACTGCACACCTGCTCTGCGGCAGCGAACTCCATAAAGGGACAGGAGAATGAGGGAGATGAACGTTTAGAGGGTACAGAGAAAGCAGCCCCAACACAACAATGGTGAATACACACTGCCTTACAGCAGAAGGTAACTGTAGGGTCCTCCACACATTCAAGAAACAGGGACACAGTAATGCTCTCTCAGGGCCACCCTGGAGTGCAGATGAGGGCAGCTCTGAAACCCTCCATGCAAGAGGACAGACATCAACCTTCTCCATGGAAACAGACTGAAGATCACTCCTCGTCTGATTGGTAACTGCTTCCTTTTCCTAAGAGCACCCAAGAGAAGTTACAGTTCTCCCATTCTATGCAGCCTTTGGAAGACCATACATTGAGTAGGTTCCCTTCCCACTCTGGAAGATGAAGAGTTTCCAAAAGGCAGTTTCCTTCACATCCTAGCTCTCCCTGCCAGGGTGGATTCAAGAAGGGAGGTGTTGCCTAAGTCTGGCCATTGTGATGTGTTCTTCAGGGATCCAGAAGTGGAGCACAATGAAACATGGACAGAAGACTTAGCGGGAATTCATTTCTTCCCACAGAGGAGACCTCACAGTGGCTTGGTGCCTGCCAGGCTACCGACACTGCTTTTCCAGACACCTCTAAATTTTGTAAGCTTGTTGACTACTGCTAATAAGTACTCTTTTTGCTTAATTTAGGGGGGGAATTGGTTTCTATTGCTTGCAACCAGTGAGCCCTACTTGGTCCACAAAGTTGAGACTGCCGCTGTAATTAACTGCAATGTTTAATTTCACTCCTTTGTAAATTGGGTTGATATTCATACACAAAGGATAATTACTTTGTTCTCATGTAATTCCTTTTGATGTTATAAATCTCCAACAAGAAGCCCTGTTTGGGTCCATGAGAAACTAGATCTCCACCTCCTAGAAAGGCAGGACACAGGCTATGCAGGGAGCTGTGATCATGCCTCTGCACACCGGCCCGCGTGTCAAACAACAACCATTCCCAAAACAAAACAAAGCAAAGCAACCCTGAAGCCCTGTATTTTCATGTTGCACTGAAGCCTACAAATTATGCAGCTGATGCTGATGCCGGATGCTAGGTGTAGAATCCAGAGCCGAGCAAAAGCCAGTCACTGTCCTGGCCCTAGCATAGAAGCCAGTTTGTATGACCACATACAAACTAAGAATGGGTCATTCATAACCGTAACATATGGAAAATTAAGGACACTTTTATTGAAACCCTAGTGAGCTATTTTGAAACAACAGTTATTTGCTGAAAGTCAATTAAAATTAAAATTTAAAAATTATTTTAAATTCAAATTGAGAACTATAAAAACAAAAATTAAAAACTATGAAAATTAAAAATTAAACATTTTAATTTTAGCAGTTTTAATTATTTATTTATGTGTTTATTTATTTTGAGACAGAGGCTTGCTGTGCCACCGAGGCTAGAGTGCAGTGGTACAATCTCAGCTCATTGCAATCTCGGCTCACTACAACCTCCCTCTCTGGAATTCAACCAACTGCCTTGCCTCAGCCTCCTGAGTAGCTGGGATTACAGGTGCATGCCACCACACCCTACTTACTTTTGTATGTTTAGTAGAGATGGGGTTTCACCATGCTGATCAGGCTGGTCTCAAACTCCTGACCTCATGATCCACCAACCTTGGCCTCCCAAGGTGCTGGGATTACAGGTGTGAGCCACCACACCCGGCCACAAAGCTTTTAGTTTTATCAAAATTGTATTAAAATTAAAAACTATAAAATTGTATTAAAGTTTAAAACTGTGAACAGTAAAAATTTTCACCATGTTCCCATGTTCATAAGAGCCTGTCCTAAATGTAATTCTAATCAGGACAGCTGTAGGTCTTAAGACAAATCTAGCAATGAGTAAGATGTTTTAAGAAAACTGATCTGATGTCTGAGAGCCCTAGTACTTGCTCCTGAGCTCACCCAAAAAGCCACGTGTCCATGCTAAGTGAAGCACTTGCAAATACCAGAGGCTCCTGCAACAAGAGGAGGTTGAAATGTCATTCCCCAGTTAGAAGTCTCCTGACACAGTAAACCTGATAGGCATCTCAGAGATGTCCCTGAGCACCAGCGGAAAATAGAATTTAGGAAAAACTGGGGGCACAGTGGGAATAAAGGAAGCAGTGGAACAACCTGCATCGTACTCCTGGGCATGGTATGAGTGAGATTCCTGTGGCTCATGCAGTTCCAGCAGAAACAGCTGAGCTCCAGCCAGTACATTCCAAAAGGCTCACCTGCAAGGTGGGGGGACAACGGCCTGTGAGATGCACGGTTGGAACAGACACCAGGAAGGGAGGTGACTAGGGTTTTGCTGGAGCTGGAGCTGCCTGATCAAGAAACAAGAGTGATGGTTTGGCTATGAACATACCCAAATCTCATCTTGAATCGTAGCTCCCACAATTCCCACGTGTTGTAGGAGGGATCCAGTGGAAGGTAAGTGAATCATGGGGGTGGGTCTTTCCCGTGCTGTTTTAGTGATAGAGAGTAACTCGCATGAGATCTGATGATTTATAAAAGGGAGTTTCCCAGCACGCGTTCTCTCTTCGCCCACCACCATCCATGTAAGACATCACGTACTCATCCTTCCACCATGATTCCGAGGCCTCCTCAGCCATGTGGAACTGTGAGTCCATTAAACCTCTTTTTCTTTGTAAATTTCCCAGTCTCGGGTATGTCTTTATCAGCAGCCTGAAAACAGCCTAATACAGGAGCAAAGAAGCCCCTGTGTGTTTGAGGTATCTGTGACACTTACGCATCATGAGAAAGAAAAAAACTTGAATATTTTCAACAAAGAAAGTAGACAAGTAGCAGCAACGTGGCTACAGCCTCCCGTCTTGCCACCTCCAGATGAGCTTTTGGAATACACCAGCAAACCGGCTGGAGCTCAGCTCTTTCTGCCGGAGCCACATGAGTGACAGTAAACTCACTCATGCTTGCCATGCAAATAACAGGAATGCAACCACACTGTTGAACTCGAGAGCTGTGACTCTTTGCCCCTTCTTTCCTGCCCCCAAACTTGAGCAGATCTAGAGGGCCAGAAGATGAAAGGAAAGAATGCCTCAAAGTCATACAAAGTCCCTCCCTCTTCATTCCAAGATAAAAGAAGGGGAGGAATGAAAAACACCATACACCCTCTCCTTTTTGGAAGCTACGCGACTGGCAAGGGGAGAAAAGAAACTTTAAACACGTTGTAAAATAGTTACTTTGAAAAAGAAAATGACGGGGGCATAAATGCCCACAGAGACTAAACACTAATAACCAAAAGGGATCAGAAAGTTGAAAAATCTGTCTGAGATATTATCAGGGGAAGG